ATTGGCTGTTGATTTCCGGGACCATGGGGACATACATGTAAAATGTCTCCACATGTACATGTACATGTATGATTATGTGCTGCGCACGCGTTTACGGATACTGTAGCTGGCTGCAATCCTCTAGTGTCAGCTACCTGACTGGAAGTTCATGTACACCGCGTACATGTACATGAACATGAACATGAACTCGTGTAACTGTTACGTGATTGTGTTACTGGCGTTCTAAAACGCCAAATTATCTGCACCCCCAATGTACATGGTACATGTGCATTGTACAGTAATACAATGTACCTGCCTAGAATTCCGTTTGTTCAACTACATGTAGCATTCTTACTGTACGTGGTATTTCGTGTGACCGTGACATGTTGGGTTTAGGCCTAGTTGGGTCACGTGACTATTACTTACAACAAACTGACAAGAACATACCGAGTATAGACGGTCTTTCCATCATCGCCTATAGCATGGGTTGAATTATTTTGTTACTCCTGTTGCAGCAATGCGGGTTGGGTGTTGGGCCGCACACACACAAACACACACAAACACACACGCACACACACACACACACACACACACACACACTTGTACTTGTACTTGTTGCTCACTGCCAAAACTGGTCACGTGGGTCTCCCCGGGAGAGGGGAGAGAGACTCAAAAGGAATCTTGGAAAGATGACTCAATTGGCTATTGAACCGCCCAACACACACACACACACACACACACACACACACACACACACACACACACACACACACACACACACACACATAGCACACACACACACATACACACGCACGCACGCACACACGCACACACACACACACACACACACACACACACACACACACACACACACACACACATGCACATCGACTACAGCTGTACTAGGCATGAATACTAACTACATGTACATGTATGTACCGGTAATGACTAGGACAGGACAGGGAATACCATGTACATGACGTACAATGACGTACATGCATAGTAATACTATCATACATGATTGTACAGTTTGTAAGTAGATAACTGACGAGTCCATTTGTCGTGTACCGACTAAAGTTATACATACACTTGAACCAAACAACCAAACTTTCCAATTCCAGTTAGGTAGCGTGTGATTCTGCTTACAGCCTATACAGAATACATACCGTGCCTATGATGACACGGAGACTATGAACGAGTGCCACATCCAACTGCGTGTAGCTCTATAAGTCGATTTTCGTCCGTCCTCCTAACATAACCACGAAGAATGTCTTCGTCATCCAGGAGGAAAGCCAGTATTCAGAGAAGGTAAGAAAATGTTCCAAACTCCAATCTCTTGCCGGGACTACGGGCTTGTAGCGTGGCCGGCATTGCAACTGACACTCGATAGGAAGATCCGTGCAACTTCCTGGCTAACCCATGCACTCATTCACTGCCTCCCTTGTCGTCTAATCCAACATGTCAACATTCTCTAGAGCAACAACTGAGAGCGGGATGGCGAATTTGGGAGTAAACACCAGAGCCACCCTCCAATGTACTTCGAAGTAGACATAAGAAAGCATCATGCACAGGTGCAGCTAGCACAGCATCATGTCTAGACAGGGACTGGGGGACTGTGGCAGGTAGTACAGTACTTGAGCCTAGTTGAGGTCTCTTTGTACTCCCAGTGGTACATGTACAGACCATATCGCGACAGGGCGGAAGGAACTCCAGTGCATGCTGTCAGCTTGTGCAAAGCCACAGAGTGCCCAGGTACATGGTGGATACCTCCTTCTGTACATTGTACAACATGATGTTCACGTCGTACACTACTACTGACAGTACTGTGCAATGTTCACGGGAAGAAGAAGATAATACAGTGTACATGTAGCCAGTTGATGGTGCATTTGTTTACGACTTGTTTTATTCAAAGTCCCACATCTAAGTGAACAATAGCAATAAGATACAAGAGAAGAGCTAGAGAGAAAAGGGAAACCAAGTCGATGCATTGATGGGTAAGCTGAATGTGCTTACATCAAGTTCACACGTTACAATTAGAACTACGAATTCAAGGCTGCTGCATAATGATTTGTTGTGTTTGTCGTGTAGATCTACACACATACTGATACAGGCTCATAATAACGGTACATGTATATCCCAAGGAAAATATCAAAATAACACATTGTGTGTGTGTGTGTGTGTGTGTGCGTGTGTGTGTGTGTGTGTGTGTGTGTGTGTGTGTGGTGTGTGTGTGTTCGACACCCTCACCTGATAAACATTGTATAGCTAGTAGTTGTGTGAATTGGAGTACGCCCTTCAACCGGCCTAGCTTTCGGCTAGAATGGGCAGAGTAGAGACTCTAGAGTCTAGACCGCTCGATGAGGTGGACATACACACACATATACATACACACACACACATACACACACACGCGCACCTTAAAACTGATCCCGCTCTAGCCGATAGACCTGTGAGACGACTACCTTCGCCAATACAATGTGATAACATGTGCGTAGGGCTTTGTTCATGTCCATGCGAACACAATAATATAGATGCTTGAAGACAGATCAGAGCTTTAGCGGGATTTAAAAGTCTAGAGATAGTTCTTTGTCTTCAGACAGTCTTCCTGGCGAGCGCTGCGCCGATGCTTGCCGAACTGTCCTGCCGTGCTGCAACAGGAAAACGCAGTCTGGCAAGTCGCGTCTTCCCCGCTTTGGGAGAGGACCTCTTGCGTCACGCTCGTGCGAGAGCGTCTTTCCTCCAGTCCTTATGCACTGCGGCAGACTTGAATGAAGGTGTACTTTGTACGTAGATTTATACATGTGCATGCGCGTGTGTGCATGTGTGTGTGTATGTATGTGCAACTTAAGTCAGTGAGTATTGCAATTGATGTTTTCACAAGGGAACAACGTGCTCGTTCATTGCCAGATCCCCAGCGCAGCGCAATAACTGCGTGAATGGCAAGGAAGTGAGATATGGGGCTGAATGGGCGGGCGGTAAGGAAAAGAGAGAGAGAGAGAGAGAGAGGGGGGGGGGGGGTACACTCGGTTGCCTGAGTCTCCAGTCCAGGCGCAAGGCGGCCTGAATGCAGCAGCGACCTCTTCATCCAATGACCGAGCAGAGGCCTCTTGCTTACCTGCCGATGCATTCAGGACGCATTAGAGCGCGCCTTCATTGGATTCCAATGGCCATACCGCGCGTGTGTATACCGCACGTGTGTGTATGCCGTGTATGTATGCGGACATGCATGTGGGTGGATGTTTTGAATGTTCTTGGCCATAGCCGCTCTTCAAGTATCAGTTACTGGCTTTAGTAGGCATACTATTGGCCGGAAGAGCAGCGTGCATGCTTGTTGAACTTACGATACATTGCTGGGTCGCTGGAGGCGAACCAACGCCGGATGGAAGGCAACGGACGGCAATGCTTTTCCTTCGAAGTACATGCACATTCATAGCGGATTGGCTTGGGTCGTTGGCCGTACAGAATGGCTGGGTCGCTATGCCCGCACAGAATGACTTGCATCGGTCTCAACATAAACTGTTTACAATATCGTGTACGCATGTAGCTAGCACGGACAAGCGTGCATACTACGGTTGTGCCATGCTGGCATGGCAAAGCTGAGAATGAGATGCACCTTAGCATGCCTTAGAATATGGTTGAGACCAGAAAGACCAGGGGCAACTCCCTGGTTGAGAGAAGATGAACCTTAGTACCAATCTACACAGGACGTGTAAATGTCGTTCATGGTCAGTTTTTCACAGTCCTTACCCGATCCGCTCTCTTTCTAACTCTTGCCATATGTGATTCTGCAGCTGGGAAGGGCTGAAGCACGGGCATTTAGCAACGCCTTTCTCGCTTCCCCTCGCCGCATCCTGAACGGTACAATCTTGCTGTGAAGCGAGTTAACAATGGCCCCCGTTTTTGGCACTTCATGCAGGTGTAAATTGCTTCGCCGACTTGACTTCACACCTTGAATCCTGCACAATGCACAGCTGAATGTTGCCTGCAAGACAGCGAACGCTGTTCCACTGGCTCAATTCCTACCCATCTCCTGTTCCACTGACTCAATTCCTACCCATCTCCTGATTGACTACATGTACTAGTGCTAGTGGTTTGAACACACCACACACAGAGCTGGTACAGTCTCATATGAATACTTCAATGACGTGCCTTCACGTGATTGTGTACTGCATAGCCAAGATCCCCCCCCCCCCCCCTCCCGTCCTGATAATTATCTTGCCCATTTCATTTCACCACTCGTGTGTGGCAAAATCTGGAAACGACGCAAGCGATCGTCGAACTTTCACCTCACAACACGTCGTTGGTGAAGGACGGTATAGAAAGTCTTGTTACATCGTGGTTGAGATATTTCTCATCGTGTAACGCCAGCATACTATCCTGTAGATTACGCGCGTGCTTGCGTCCCAGAGGAAACTCTTCCCCTTCTATGCGTTGAATATGTGAGCTTGCATCCGTGAATTTGTCGGTCGCCCATCTAGCGACATCCATTTGGCCGTGTCGTCCGATACAGTACCGAAAGCCTGCAGCGAGTGAGGCAAGGGTGCCGTGAAGTGGACCAAGCACTGCGACACAATGGCAGTGGCACACCGGCCACCGTTGCAGGCCGATCTTCTTTTACGCGGTGGGACGAACACCGGTAGACCCAGGCCAGGGCATGGTGTGGGTATGCACATATCAATGTCTGTGTACGTGTGTGTATGTGTGAGCGTGTGTGTGTGTGTGTGTGTGTGTGTGTGTGTGTGTGTGTGTGTGTGTGTGTGTGTGTGTGTGTGTGTGTGTGTGTGTGTGTGTGTGTGTGTGTGTGTGAGGTAAGGGGGGGGGGGACAAGGCACTCATGAACGGGCTGATACTATGCTGGAAGAGTATGAGAGCACAGCTAGCCTACAGGTGACGACTTCTCCTCACGCCGATAGGACCCGCTGCAAGAGTAGCACTTTCCGCTCGCTCTCGGCTAAGCCTGAGCCAGGGCAGGCACGGTGGAAAAGGACCGAGCAGTTCTACATAAATGTACACGGCTCGACAAGAAAAGGAGGAAGTAGTTGCAACGACTTTCAGGTAACTTCAGCTCTGACTTGCCTGCAGTTTGTTGGAAGTGTATTTGTACCACGGTGAATTTATCCCAATTGTTTGTCAAGCTGCACACTTGTGAAAGAGGACAAATTCTCCACTCGTTGGGACGGATACAACTCCGACTTAGGCAAACGTCTGACGTTGGTTGGTCGCTCAGGAACCGCCCCCAGATCACCTGTGTCACTCCGCGTCCAGTACTGAACCCATCACCATACCCGCAGTTACTGAGTTAGACTGGGAACGCACATGTGCAGAACGGCTGGCTGCACCGACGTCATCACATTGTCCAAGCGTTAGAACATTTTCGAACAACGTGTGAAGAGGCTGCGTGAACAATTGCCCCGCTGCAAGGACATTTGTGGGCAACATTCTGCAAATCTGAGAAGAGAGGAAACTCTAGACCCGACGTGTCTGTCGTTGACAGTAAGTCATCGCCAGCGAGTCTCCCTCCAATTTTCCTGATTCGAAGCTGGTACCACAGAACTTTGGTCGCTCAGTTGTTAGTTCTACTGGCTGGAATCTGACGAACAGTACTTTGCAGCGAGTGACAGGTCTACGGGCCGCTAGACTGGGCCTTATAAATACGATTAAGAGTTTATCTCCTCGTGTCAGTTGTGTTCCGTCGTCTGTTGATACCAGTTAGACTAGCAGACACTGCAGGCTGACATCTCCCTAACTGGAACGTGACCTGTGAGGCTCATAGGTTCTCTATCTCCCCCCCCCCTTCATCTCTCTATCTCTTGACTTGTACAATAGTCAATAGGATCATGATGTCCCACGTGTCCAACACCAATCAGTCTTCACTGATGTGCCCCACCATAGCCTGGACACCAACACCTAGGTCGTGTATGGAGCTATCACAACCCATCGCCGGATTCCGACACAACACCCTCAGTAGCAGCAACGCCAACCACAGTTTGCTGCAGCCCTCCTCGTCTCCGGTCGCAGCCTCTGCTGTGTCTACAGAACCCCCTGCGTTTTGTGTGACCAGCAATGCTCACCACCAAAGTGGTCCAGTCTCCGGTCAGTTGTCCCCGCAGAGTCTGCAGCATTCACCATCGCAGCATCAACCACACGGCCAAGTGTCTCCTCCACACGGCCAAGTGTCTCCTCCACCCTGCACAGCGCCCATGTCAAGCCGAGTCAGCTGGATGGTAAGTGAAATGGAATACTTGTCTTGTACCCTTTCAAAGGGAATCTGAAGGATGTGGGAGAAAGAGGAGGGGGAGGGGATATTATCATTGGAAGCAGTTTGTTCTAGGCAATGCGAGTAGGTATGTACTTCAAGCATCTTGGTATGATCTGGTATTGCTCGGCGTCCAGTCACGCTTCATAATCCTGACATGATGGAAGCTGTAACAGATATCTACCGGATACCTGCTTTTCGTAGTTAGAGCACTCTGGCGCTAGAGAACTACAGCCGTGGGTAACGCCGGATACCTACAGTACGTCATGTATAATTGTACTCTGGAACAGCTCATCTTGAAATCAACTACTCGTAGTCTAGTCTTACTGTGGTGCAGCTTCACGTTATCTCGAATTCGTGTACTGGTGGCAAATGTACATAGCCATGGCGTCATCAGTGCAGCACCACACAACGTATTATAACTAATTCTCCTACTTCTGAACGTTACGAGCAATGACTCTTGCTCGAGATCTTAGTACTTCGAAGTAGTTGTCGACATGATCCCCGCCGGATACTGGTGCCCTTGTCACACCACTGTTATTCTGAGCCGTCAAAGTTAGTCAGTACTGACTGCGAGTTATGTTCGCCATGCTACTCTGCTAGGTTTCAACGTACTTTGAGAAATGGAATAGGTTTTAAAAGTCGAGGCCCATCATTGAGTTGAAGACGGAGCCGGTTGGTGATGCCCATTTTCAAAAGAGTGTCTCCATAAGCAGGGCTTTGAAGCTTCACACTGCCCACCGCCAATCACTGAAATGGGTTCTCACGGAGTCAGTGAGTGTGTGAGTGTGTGAGTGTACATGACTGTACATGATTGTATACGTTCAGTTGATTAGTGTCATGTAGATTGCAGGTGTATGTGTGAACACGGAACACGGCTACCTCGCCTCCTAGTATTACATGCCGTGTACTAGACTGTGTGAAGCAGATGTCACTGTGCCGCTAACAACTCGACTACTTGATGCTTTCCTGTTGAAGCTCTGCGGTGCTATCATCGCCCTGCGCCGCTCTCGCCTCCCAGGCCTTCAGGACCGTTGCCCGTTACTACCACACATCGAGCAAGGGTAACATAACACCGTCTAATTGTACGACACAATCGTACACCCCGTGATAATACCGATAGCTGTTGTGACGTTTGTCACGGTACCACCCGATCCTTCGCTGTACTCGAACTCCCCGAACAACAGTAACTGTTTATCGACGTTTACTCGATGCCCAGGGTGCCTGACAAAGGAATCGATTTGTGGCGCGCAGATGGTGATGATGGTGAAATTGGGGAAAAATTCTCCTAGAGTCAAAATGAATTAATTTGTCCAATACAAATACAAATCTAGTGAATATTGTATTGTGCAGTCGAGTGCCTGATTGCATCGTTGAGTCGCCCCTCATCGGCTCACTATGTATTATACTTCAAATCACGAGTGTACGATGTAGATTGTAGTCGTTTATAGCCCAGAGTCGAGAGGTCTGAATGAGAGAATATCGGGGGGCTGATCGTTGCTGATCGAAACGCTCTCTTGACTTGAGCTGCGATCCACTGGCGCACTCACACGAGTCACAGCCCCGAATTCACATCTAGAATCTCTAATGCGATTGTTTATTTTCTGCCCGCAAAGTGAGCGTCAGAGTGTGTCCATGCATCCATGACATTGGCAGACCTGCAGAAGGCGCACAAGTACCATTGATAATTAATGTATTCTCACTCAGCTCAGTAGTAGCCTATTGTTCGCGCTAGTGAATCCAGCCAGTGGCAGGGTTTTGTCCACTCTCCCACCTTTCAGCTTCATCTTGTTCTCGAGTGAGGGAACCGCTTTGCCCCAGGCTGGATAGAGTGCCCACCGACCGTCATCCTTGTTGTTCGTTTCTTGCATCACCCACGGGCGTACACAACATACACAAACACACATGGGTAGATATCTACGGGGTCACACTTTGAGCCGCAGGATCCGAGCGAGCTAGTAGACCTACATCACGCCTTTCGTGTCCCCAGGGCATACTCTCTTGTGTAACAGTCCATGTTCTTCGCACTTTTGTACCAGCCTCACTCGTACCTTTGACTTTGTTCGCAGGTGTGAACGATCGATTCACACCTTATTTCCGTGTCAGCATTGGCCCCGGGGAGTCGACTCCCTGATCTCTTCGTTGTTTGTAGCATCTCACTGGCTGTTCCGTTATCGGCATGCACAAGTCGAGACCGTGTACATACACATGTTTAAGTACCAAAATTTCAGGAGTAGGGGGCTCTTGGTCGATGTATACTCAGTAGGCTCTTGACCGTACTGAAAATACAGGAACAGATAGTACTCTTATGCACTGTGACTCCCCTCCCTTGAGTTGAGGGGTGCTGCAGGGTCGATGCCCAGCGAGAAAATGCCACTGGATCAAGTCAGTAAAAGTCAATGGCAAATAGTCCCATGATATTGATCTGGGATCGTCGCGTTTGTCACCGCAACAACAAACCACATTAGAAACTAAAAAACGCCTGAAACTTGCATGTAAGAGAGCACTTCCTAACCGTTATCTGTATTGTCCTCTCTACGCCTTCACAGTCGTCGCACAAACATAATATACATCGAGATGTTCGTAGGAAATTGAAGTGATCCTGGGCGTCCATGGGTGCCACTGGGTGGCAAAGTAGTGGCCGGAAGTCGTTGTCGGGCGAACTGCCAGAAGTTACAGAGGTGTTTTGAAGTAGTGTCACTTATCAGTACCTGCACATGTTCGGTGGTGTGTACACGGTAATCTGTGTGTCAACTTTCCATCGTTGGAAAATACACTGAGAGAAGGAAATTCTAGTACTTCGAAGTACGAACATGACTTTATTGTAATACGTGTCACATAATCTGAAATCAATTATAGAAGCTGCCGATATCCCGACTTGCAGCCTCTGACCTTTGCTAAGATGCTGGTGTTCAGCCAGCAGCACAGTCACACTAAAAGAGTCGTGAAGTTTGTGATGAGGCTCGTAGACTAGGATATACAATCAAACTCGACACTTCAGATCTAGCCGGCACTGTATTTGTGGTATCTGCATGTCATGTCTGCATCTAATCATCACAATGTCATGGTAATCGTTCGTGTACATTCAAAGTATGTAACATGAGTGTGAACTACGCAACAAACACACCTGCTAGAAGGTACTTGCCTATTGGTGATGCAATTTTACACAACAACAACAATTGGCAACTTCATGTACTGCAAAAAGATGATTGGACGCTTGCATCACACAGTAACCGTGTTACTTCTTGTCTTGTGTGTTCTATGGATGCAGCAGCCATCTCCAGTGGAGCGCAGTCCCGCCATCACCTCCTCCTCCCCCGATGTAATCCCATCCAGCGGTAGAAACCTGCTAATACCGTCTAATGGTCAGCCAGTACAGCGTAGCCAGGTACCCCTGGTCATGCTGCCAATCTCCGTCGCCGGACCGCCGCAGCAACAGACAATTTACGAGAGCCGTCCCGCCGTCGTTCAAACATTGTCCCATCAACAGCATCGCCCAGCACCACTGTCAGCTCCTGCACCATCCGGGTAAGGAGCTTTCACAGTCCCATCACCTGGGCCACGGTCTGTCATTACCAGTACAGGCATGATGTACACTGGCTGTACTTGTAGTTCACAGGGTAAAACTAAGCATATCGCACTCATTTAGGTGATGTCCTCGGTCTTAGTAAAACGTATGTACATGTATCTCCGATCTACACCCGAAGTCCTGCTTCTCACATTCTAAGATGTATTTTTTTGTCCTGCAATCATCCTCTGTCTCCATGCAGACCCTGCTACTATCAGAACCTTGCGCCATCCCAGACGCATCCCTACTCACACCAGCTCATGCTATCGCACGAGGCGCCGGTCAGCCAACGCGAGCGCACCAAGCCGCTGCGTGACTGGATCCTGAAGCATCGATCACACCCCTACCCGAGCAAGGAGGACAAACTGGCCTTGGCCATGATGACACGCATGCGTCTTGACCAAGTCTCCATGTGGTTCGCCAACACCCGTCGCCAGATCCGCAAAGTAGGCATGAAGGCCTGGTCAGGCGGTCTCTTTAGTGCACCACTACCACACCGGGTTGGAAATGGAGGTGAGTGATGGGACTATCAGATCCACATGTCTAGTATTGCTATAGGATATATCAAACTGAGACTACATGTGCAACCACTAGAACAGCTACGTGTATACCATTCGATGTCCAGCCGACAAAATAATGTAGCAGTATCCATCACTTTGCACTGTCCACACACTGTGTTTCGCTCTGGTGTTGCACACACACCACAACCTCCTTACCATGCCAATGACATCATTGGTCGTCTTCAACTAACGTTCCCTTCTCTCTTTTCTTCTCTTCTATTGTGTTCTTCAGCTATTATTCCTGTTCCGGATGAGGAGCGTGAGGATGACGGCGAGGAGGAATCCAGCTTGACCTGCTCATCCGATGACAGTTCATCTGGCAGAATTCTAACCGACAGCAGCTGTTCCATGGAGTAATCACTAACATACCGGTAGTCATTACTGCGACAAGTCATGTGACCCGTTGCCATGGCTGTGGAGCACTACAGGACATGGGTTCTACAACGAAGCTGACTGCTGGTGTCATGGTTGCGGTCATGAGGAACTGTTGGTGTAATTCAAGTAGAATATAGGAGATTATGCGCAATAACAAACTAGATGGACTTTATAGGGTTTGGTCGATCGAACGTAACTACAATGCTACATAATACGCAACATAATAATTATTATATTATTTGCTTGAGTAGACCGCAGTGCCATCGCAGGCTGAGAAACACTTCTATGTAATACGATATGAATTACCAAACAGCATGTGTAATGATATACTTTAGCCTAGACCTTCAGCGTGGGTGTAATGAAGCAGCTGTATAGTTACTACTTGGCTGGCAGACTGCAGAGTAATCGTACTGGTACAGTTGAGCATGATTATCGATAGTGTAATGATGGCCACCGTATTGTGGAATTTCAATACGGACGCGGAGAGAGTACGTACTAATGTAGCCAATAATCATAATGATAGATACCGGTAGGCAATCTAAAATAGATATTTACTAATGATTTGTACTAATGAATGTAGTAATGAATGTAGTATTATTTTCCACTAAGCTAATCTGTTAATGCGGCACAAAAAACATGAGCACCCGATTGTATTGAATTCTTTTTTCCCTAGCTGACGACAAATTGTCGCTCAGTAGATCCACTCGACCTGCACACCGTAGTACATATCATTTACGTCTGTTTGTTACCGTGGTTACAGCCAATCGATACCATTATAATCCATACCCGTCCCGGCAGAAGTACAATTCCCGATTCTACTCGTAATTTTTTTGAGAGCTGCATCCTGGTACAGGATACACTGAGTCACTGATTAGTATAGTAGTGCAGATGTACGTGTGTAATGATGGAGTGCTAGGATGGTTGATGATATAGTTATGATTGTGAACTGTCACATGACCTTACATAGTAGGAGGTCAAGTTCTGGCTTGCAACTGGCTTTCCATGATGCGGTTCTGTTTCGCAAGGAAGTAGTTCATGAGTATCTCAATAATTTGACTGCTTTTTGATTCAAGTTGAACTTGCTGGCTTACACTGCTTTGCTTGTGTGCTGCTTGCTATCAGTTGCTATTCCAGTGTGAAATAATCACTACTGAAGTCTTGTACCGTAGAATCTACTATCATCAACACTGATCTGAGTGAGTTGGTCTAGGGAAGTATTAGTTGTCTCTCAGGCTGCAGTCTCAGCTCAAACGAGTTACGTACACTGGCTATGTACCTTTGCCGCAGACGTCCTGCAATGATCGCAGTGGACACTGTGGAGAGAGATCCAGAAGAGGCAAAGCTGAGAGCCTTCCCTATCAAAATAATAAATTCTACTACTACTACTACTACGGTTCATGATTTCTCTTCCTCATTGCTTTTAGCCAGGGAGTTGTATGTGTCAGGGAGTTGTATACAGGGAGTCGTAAAATACCGGTATTTTACGACTCCCTGGTTGTATACAACTCCCTGCTATTACTAGTATTAGCCAACACTGCAGTCATCATGCATAGTGCATTTCTAGACTCCTATTAAAACTACTTACTTTGGTGATGATATCCCGGCCCATTCCCTGGACCGACGTGTAGATGTACAAGGCAGGGAGTCGGAAACCCGGGACGGGTTAGATCTACAGCACTACCGCACGCGTCATAGCTGCTACGCTGTCACCATGGTCACGTACACTAGCGCCTGTTATGTAAAATTGTTGTTGAGCTCTTTCACCAGTGTTCACTGAAACTCTTTTGTGTTGCTCGACCGATTTCCGGTCACTCGAGAGCACATCCTCAGACGGCATGCCGCAGCCTTGTACTGTAGTTGTCGTAGATCTGAATGAACTCCGAAAAGTCAGCACTTCACGATATCAAGAGTCCAAGAGTTATGGACTCTTGACGATATGGATGATCCGGCTCAAGCACTTCCGATAATTTTGAACACAAGATAATTTTCTTCACAATCGATTTGCTCGCATGCGTTCTTTGTTGCTTCACGGTCTGAGAGGTGTTCGGAGCTACAGCATGTCTACGGTTGAGCAAGCTAAACGAGCTGCTGCGTTCATGGCAGTGGACCAGCATGTTCAGGTAGGAGAATGAATGAATCGAATTTCCGAATACTAGCACAGTCATGTACCTCGACCCAATGTTTCAGGGACGATGTGTGAATGTCGTGGTGTAATTATCTCACAATGCAGAACAACACAGTCGTTGGAGTGGGCAGCGGCTCAACGGTCGTGTATGCCGTGGAGCGACTGAGTAAGTCTGACTTACTGGACAGACATAATACACAGCACACGCGATATTTTGAATGTACATTGTACACGTGGTGCATGAAAAATACTCAAGTCCCCCAAAAATCCTATTTTGGTTTTTGGAGCACTTTACTTAGAATTCACTGTAGTACACGTAGTTTTGAAAATGAGGGAAATATCCTCAATAGGACGCGGCCTGACGCTCCTTGGCGTGGGTGGCTAAGCTGTGTACTACCGTCATGGACATGGAAATCCAGCCGATTGACCGATGCCGACGCCCTCAGCTCGTACAGAACGCTTGGTGCAGTGCACTTGTTTATCCGATGCGACCAGCTGCCAGCGCGCTGCAGCGCATAAATGCATGTTAATGTGTGCACCGCTTATCCACGACGACGGCTGCATGGCCAGCACCCTGGGGCCGCTAGACGTGCAACCGGATTTCCATGTCCACAACAGTAGTACTAGTATTCAAATTATTTGCATACAGACACCATTGGCATAACTATGCTATGGCTATCACTACCAGGGAGTCATAGACCCTAGAGACACTACACGAGACCATAGCACCCAACATGATGCGCGTTTAAGCTCCCCGGATTTGGAAGTAATTCCACGTGACCAGTGGCCCATGGAGCTCGCGGCCCAGCGGACCAGCAATGCCGTATGCCAGCGTGTATAAAAATATATCGACCCTGCTCCTAGCGCGTCTGGAATGGGCAACCCGAGAACGACACTCACGTTGTTTCATGTTTCAGTTGCCCGTACAGTCTCCCTAGATGCTATCACCCCCTGTCGTCCATATATGTGCTACCTTACTTCTATTCAGTCGCTCATCTCCATTCTATTAGAAGACCAACGGCACTGTTCAGGAGCTTGGTTCACGCATTCATTCAGAGAGTCTGTTTCCCCAAACATTGGAACTCTCGCTTCTTCCTGTCGATTTACCCGCGGCCGGGGAGCGGTGGTTTTCTTGCGAGCGTGCCAAGTCGAAGGTGTGGTGGGCTTGCCGTGCGCTCTGGATGGCAGTAGCGAGTTAGTCAAGTGTTGTGTGAAGTTGGCAGGATGAAGTCTATCCTTCAGCCCTGTGAGCAACTCCAACTTTCTGACTGCTGCTGCCTAAGTTGCTGGTATTGTCTCGAAACAATATTCTGTAAAAGTTTGTGCAGTTTGTTGGATGTTCATGCTAGTATATTTCCTTGCAGTTCTTTGGTTCGTACTGGTAAACATGCTTACTACAGATGATGATACTTCGAAAGTCTATCCAAGTCTATTTCCTTTGTTTCTTTTGCCGTGTCTTTCGGTTATAGCCGAGCGAGTGAAGAATGAGAACTTGCAGCTGAAATGTGTGCCTACTTCGTTTCAGGTTGGAATCCCTCTGCGCGTTGATGTGTGTGCTGCATACTTGCGTTTGTGCGTGTGTGTGTGTGTGTGTGTGTGTGTGTGTGTATGTGTGTGTGTGTGTGCATTTGTGTGTGTGTGCATTTGTGTGTGTGTGCATTTGTGTGTGTGCATTTGTGTGTGTGTGCATTTGTGTGTGTGTGTGTGTGTGTGTGTGTGTGTGTGTGTGTGTGTGCATGTGTGTGCATGTGTGTGCATGTGTGTGTATGTGTGTGTATGTGTGTGTGCAAGTGCATACGCATTTGTGTGTGCATGCGTGTGTACATGAGTGTGTGCATGCGTGTGTGCATGCGTGGGTGCATGGGTGTGTGTGCTCTACAAGTAATACAATACACAGAAAGAATCCATGCTGTCATGCGTGTGCTTGTGCTACTGATTGAGACAGTGATTACTGCTTGACAAGGACGATGAAAAAATGTTCAGTAACGAAAGTACAGTTTGTTGTGTGAGGATTTTAAATGATCAGTTTCTCAATGCTGAAATTCCTGTTCTATTCGGTCTACAGGCACGGCAGCTGATCATTTCAAATAATCTGGTTCTGGCAGATCTGGAGACTTGTCCTGAGGTATGGGTTATCATTATTATTAGTATTCACACATATCCGCCGGATGAGTACGCGTGACCCATGCAACATGGGGACCCACGAATACAAACCAGCGTAATAATATTCCCTCAGCAATAAAAGCAAGCAAAGATAAACGAGAGCCCAGGCAGCATGGTTTGGGAGAGAGTAATTCATGTGCTGCCATGAGCCGCTTTGCCCAAGAGAGCCGTCTTGATCTACGCTCAGCCCTCATTTATCCAGGTACCCCTGCCTTACCTAAACAATAAACACCTCTCTCAACTGAGGACCCTTCTAGTCGGGGATCCAAGACAAAAAAAGTGTCTAAATCTGAAAGTGGTCTGCCACTAGAATCCGAGTAAAATCGAACTGTACAGGTGGAGAGAATACCTGTTGTGGAGTCGAATGGTAGTTGTTGGCCCGTCTAGATCGGGGAAGGAGCTCCGCGAGAGGCAATTTTAGTTCAGCTTCGTCGGTCACTTGAACTGCTCACCTTTCGTCTCGGGCCGATTCTGAGTTGCGTAGAGTACGCACATGACAACCAAATGCAGTCAAATTTGAAAAAAAACTCAAAGCGAGTGTCTGATCTGGTCGGCGACTTCACTTTGTTGTTCATCATATTCTTGGTCAAGAAGTTTACTCTCGCTCTTGTAGAAGTAAAGCACAGGGACTTCGTAAGCCTAGCCTAGATATCGTTTGGTCCTTCCACTACCCACTCGCAATGGCAGCCAACAAACTACCCGTCGTGTCGTGTAGTTTGACGCCGCTTCGCGAGTGATCTCAAATGTTTTCTTGATTGGAATTTCGTTGATACGATCGATACGAGGGACACCTATCATTCTGCGAAGGTAAGCTTGGACCCTTTCCCTGCTTCTCTCTCAGGCACACACACCTTCAATAGCACTCGATTAAATTAGAGTTAGAGTAGAAATGATATAAACGCATTGTAGTCACTACTCAATCGAAAATGAAATAAACGAGAGAGCTTGGAAGCTCAGGGCCCTACGCTATGCTTTTTTGCCTTGATGACCTAGACAAAAAAAAGCATAGGGATGTTATAAATTCTTTAAAAAAATCCTTTTTTTTAAGACATAACCTGGGATTCGAACCCGCACTATCGCGCACCCTGCATGCATCCCCCGATACACTTCGCATACATACTAATTCTTCCAAGTTAAGTTGTTTCACATTGTGATCTTGCATTTGAAAGCCCTATTTGAATATGCATTGTGGCCAGCCGTCTTTGATGGTACGGTACGGTAGGGGATAGGTACGGGACAGGTACGATCGAGGGTAATACGACACCGTCTCCCGTACCGTACCGTACCATCAAACACAGCTGGCCATACAGCTGCCCGCAATATTCAAATAGGGCTTTCAAACGCAAGATAATAACGTGAAGCAACTTGGAAGAATGGGTATGAATGCGAAGTGTATGGGGGAATGCATGTAGGGCGATAGTGCGGGTTCGAATCCCAGGATATGCCTGAAAAAAAATAGGAGAATTGAAAAATGTATAACATCCTATGCTTTTTTGCCGTCAGATACGGATAGCGCCAGGCGTGACACAAACAAACACACAAATACCAAATTAAAGCTGTGTGGACCCTGGCTAGCGCCAGACGTTACTGAAGTAACGTCTTCTGCATAGCTACGGGAATAAATACTACAACTGTAGTAAGGAAGACATGTCCAGTGCTGTGCAATTCATGGACAATATGCCCAGTTTAATATGTACATTGGAATAAAATGTAGGATGATAGCGTCATCGCTTTAGAAGCCAAGCTATGTACAAGCAGTTTATATACAATGTGTGAACAGGTTAGGTGTGTTGACAGCCATAGCCATAATTCACCGCAGTTGTATTCTAGGCTCGGAACTGCAGGTGGGGCAACACTTCGCGGTCGGCGTTGGTTACCTGGCTCGGCACGGCTCGTACTTTCTGGTGGACACGGATCGTCCTGGAAGGGCAGCGAGTGCTGGAGCACAATGCCGTTGGTGCAGTGTGTCGTCCCTTGGCCACTCAGAGTTTCCTCGTTGAGGTCGTTATTGTCCCAGCAGAAATGAACATCACCTCCATGCTGGGAAATGCCACGGGGTACTACAACACTGCTGGCTGCGGAACTTCCTGCTACTTCGAGAGAATACCCGGTTTCTACTTCTCGCAGCTTTGAATACGATATGCCATGGCCGAACTGGTTGAGAAGATCCACCATGTGCTTGCTCCTCGTGTGGTGGTGGACAGTAAGCGCCAAAGCTACGTGCTTTGGTGTCAGAATAGATCCACGAGTTGCAGCATACACAATGTCCTCAGCAATTGCCAAAATCTTGCAATGGATGTCGGTAGGGACATGGACACGGGAGTCTGTCAGGTCACCAATGTCACACTTCTCAGGGCCGACAATGGTCATGGCAAGCACATTGTAGAGGATGTCTGGCACTGGCACATTCTCATTTACGACATCACTGGCATGTGGCATGGTGGGTATTGTGGGCTGCTGATCACAGATGGCGTTGTTCAGAGCCATGGCTGTGTGGAAGGCATGTACCTTGCAGCTGCTATCAATAGCTGGAGGTGCATCTTCATCCGCCATATCATCTCCAGCATATTCGTCGGCGCACTGCTGGGCTGCCTCAGCCTTGGCTACTGCTGCACCAACTACTTGTAGCAGTTGTGATTCTGTCAAGGAGCTGCTTACAACGCTCTCGGGTGATAATGGACCAGGACGGACGAAGTTGATGCGTTTTCCAAAATGCTCCAACAGGCGCTTCTTCAGCAGCCATCGTCGGTATTGACTTGCAGCTCCGAGCTCTGCCAGCTTGGCGCTGTACTTGGACGTCAGGCTGTCCATACGCATCGCTCGTATTTCTGTCTCACTGAAGAGCTCCTTCTCCATGCATACAGCCAGCCACTCAAAGGCTCTATCGTACACATTGTCGTCTGCAACTGCCGTCGTCTTCTTTGCCTCCAGTGCTGCCACCGTACTAGAATGAGTGTAGTTACGGTAGCAGCAGAAATGGTAGCATATGTCCGATGCTACACAATCGGGACTGCCCTCCTGGAGGGTAAGTAAAATCCGCTGGCCTGCTTCATCTCCACGTGCATTTGCCGCACGGATCAAGCTTTCGCCAGCACGGAATTCTGAACAGAGGGTAAGCGGTTCAGCTTTCCGGTTCTTTGTTTTTGTTTTTTGTTGACATATTATACACAGAGTGATGTCGATGGTTGTCACTTTGCTTCGTGTCATAACACGCTTCTTGGGAGGTTCATCCTCACAGGCATCTGCGTCACCCACCTCCTCTGCGCCAACATTGCTGGCAAGGCCACCACTCTCCTCTCCCTCAAAACGACTCAGAGTCTTCTTGTGGGTGTAGGCTGCATAGCAGCGCCTATGGTACCAGCCACGCGGGGTGCTCTCATCCGTGCTACACTGCTCCTGGCAGAGAAAGGCCCATGTGCCGTCCTGGCGAATTTTGGCAGCAGATACCACTCGAGACCAGCTGGTGTTCGTGAAATTTACTTTCTCCTCCTTTTCGCTTCCTTCGATCTTCACACAGTGGCACAAACATGAGCTCCATGAAATTTCCGAAACCTGAGTACTGGCTGAAGCCACTAAATGCCCAACACTACCTGGACTTTGTGCACAGGAGGCACAATTCTCGTCTTCCTCCATGCTTACTCGCGTGGGAATGAAATTGAAAGACCTCGTGCTTCCTCAAATAAGTTCCCCGGCCAGCGTCGTCATTTTCTACGGCGTCATCATTTTCTAAATTTTTCAAATGTTTGTCGTGGGTGCGCAATGTGTGCATGCTCAAGCCATGCGCGTACGGACGCACGGCGAAAATAAATTTGCGACCTTCTTGAGAACGCTTGAGAAGGCTTGCGAAATCGTCGACGAAAACCCTCTCGCCGCTCGTCTCCTTCCCCGATTCAGAAGGGCCAACAAACAAAATTGACCTTCTATAACCATCACCTATCAGCCCTGAAAGCGGCAAATACTCGGAGTGAAGTGGCAGACCCAATTTTATTTTTGAGCTTCGGATCCTGTACTATTCCGGATCCTCTGAGTGATATTTTACTGTCAAATTATTATTACGTCAGTCCGAGGGAGGTGAACACGACAGGCATTATACTCTTGTCTTCCTGCTTTCCGAAGCCTGATGCGAAATCTCGTGTGTGAACTTTGCATCGCACTTTAACAAATTCACTGTACATGTATCATCTGCATAGGACGAATCACAACTCCTAGTCACAATCTGTATGAATCTACTTGTATGCTATACAAGCATCGTCATTTACTTTCTTGAAATGTGTACTTTGTCGAAGTGTGTTGTGATATACCGGCGGTAGACAGGTTGACTGGGTGTTTTTTGCCAATTTTGAAAAGCAGAGTATGAATTATGGATGTCTTTGGTTGTGCCTGCTCTTGCCTGTGTGTTGTAGCTTGATGTGGCTATTGATGGAGCGGATGAAGTGGATGCCCACCTTTCCTGCATCAAAGGTGGCGGGTAAGTATTGCGCGCGCACGCGTGTGTATGTGTGTGTCAGTCTCTGAAATTGTTTCTTTCCTAATGCCCTTCGCTCAATTGTTGTGCAGGCGATTCCTCCTAATTGTCTGCCATGCAGTTTTGATTGGGGTACGAGGGATTGAAATATTCCTATACCCCTGAAACTGATTTCTTCGGCATTCCTTTTTTTCTGTGTATCTATTTCCTTGCCAGTGGCTGTCAGACTCAGGAGAAGGTCGTCGCAGCTGCAGCGAAGAAGTTTGTTGTCGTCGCTGACTACAGGTAGGACATGTCACTGCAAAGTGTACAATCGTCATGGTTGGCCCATCACCTACTCACGCTGCTCTTGTTGTCCTCCATTGTCTTCTCCTACTCGTTGCAGAAAGGACTCTGAGCGTCTTGGTCAGCAGGTAAGAGCAGCTGTGTTGAGCAAGTTGTGCCTCAGTGTTTCTTGTGGTATATCCGCCCTGGTGTAAACCTTTCAGCAAGCATTGAACATTCATCTCATTGCTACATTCACAGTCAACCTAGCGGATGAGGACCCTCGATAGGGACCGGCGGATTCTGCTTGAAAAGGTGGCAGATACTGCTCGAAAAGCAGTGAAATTGGCAGAACCATACAAACCTTATGGCGGGCAATTCCTCGAATTCTGCTCCATTTCTTTATCCACATACCAAACATGCATGAAACTTACCAAAAAAAGTACCGAATTCTGCCAGTTTTTCTGCCGGCATAATCCGCCGGTGCCTAACCCTCGATTGTGCATCAGAGAAGTGTCATTTTTCGCGATTTGTCGCTATTCGTGGAATGGGAAGTATTGTTAGGTACTCGAATATTCATAAGTTGTTAGGTACTCGAATATGCATAAGTTGTTAGGTATCTAGTTAGACTTGGGTGGAGAGACAAGGATTCATTTATAACAAGAAAAGAGGACCAAAGAGCTACACATTTTGCTATAATGTCCACTAACACCATCAGTTACTTTACAATCAGCTCAAGCGATAACATTGCACGTTCTGACGTTCTGCACCTAACTGGCAACTGACGTGCTGGAGCTGATTGCCAGTTAGGTGTCGAACGTCAGAACGTGCAATGTTATCGCTTGAGCTGATTGTAAAGTAACTGGTGGTGTTAGTGGACATTATAGCATAATGTGTAGCTCCTTGGTCCCCTTTTCTTGTTAGGTACCTGTTGAGGTTTTAAGAGTATGTAGTCAAATGATCACTAGGTCTGAAGATTGTGTGTGTTATTCGTGAGTTGTTGTTATACGTGAGGTCGTTATTCACAAGGTGACTGTTGTTATGTGAATGTGGTGATGTATGCCCTAAAAAAAGTTGGCATCAGGTTTTATGCCGGAAAACATTGAACATACTGCATGCATGGCATTGTCACTACTCACTGGCAACCACCAGCAAACTCCAGTTCCCCTGTGTTGTCCTGTGCAGTGGGAGAAAGGACTGCCTGTGGAAGTAGTGCCGTTTGCCTACAAGCCTGTGGCGATCAAGATGGAGCGCATGGGATTCGAGCCCGTGTTGCGTATGGCCAAGAACAAAGCCGTGAGTAGCACCCCTAGCTAGTGCAGTTGAGTTAGAATATACACTCATGTCTCTCTTATCCGCACCTCGGTTTACCGGGCACCCTGTGGGCGAGTTTAGTAGAAATATCACTGGTGTCCTGCCATATTTCTTTGTGGAAATAGTGACAACATACATATATGCCAGACCTCTGGCCCTTCTCCATCAAAACGTACATGATTCAGAGTATCTCCGTCATGTTATGGGTAGTGCCCGGTCCCGGACTGCCCGGATAAGCACGATATGAGTGTAGTGTGCAAATAACAACCGGCTGAGTTTTATTGCATCTAATTCTCAATCTGCGTCTAATTCATATGTTGCCCAAGTCTCATAGCTAATCTTTTCCGAAGTTTGAACTTCGTGACAGATTACATAATTAATTTAAGTACCAGTAGACTTGAAAACTGGGTATATGACATCATCATCAAGTATGTTACCACAGGGCAATCATTTTCTTCTGAGTGATATCTCCGTGTGTGTGTGTGTGTGTGTGTGTGTGTGTGTGTGTGCGCGTGTGTGTGCTTGTATGTGCCGTCGGGTTCCTGTTCTGCTTTGGCAGGGACCAGTGATAACGGACAATGGCAATGTGATCCTAGATGTCAAGTTTGATGCCACACAGGTAAGCTGTGACAATGTGTACAGACCATCTGGTAAAAGGAGAGCGATCGCTCTCGCGCGCCTTCGCTCTCCTTATTTTCTTTTAGGGCGCGCTTTTCGTCGCACGCCTTGAGAATTTCGAGCGCATCCGCATCACTATGAAGTTCTGAAAACACTCAAATATTTCGTAACCCGGCTTTCCCTGAACGGAATCGAGTAATAGAAAGGTCTATTCGCATTAGAAAGTTCTCAACTGTCGGCTCCAACAAATCGGAAGTCGATCCGAGGTCCAATAGTGAAGTTACGGCACTCGCAAGGTATTTTACGTACCTTTGCAAATTTTCACTTCCGCAATTGGGTGGCAATCATAGTATCTTGACATAAAGGATTTCCCTCTCTTGCGTGACAGTCCGGGCATGCATAGACCTGTGTGACGCCAGGCACAGGTCTTTAGCGGTCAGCTACAGAAGAAAGGAGCGCTCTACGATGAATACTACAAAAAATACCATGCCATGTTAAGATCGGATCTTAGCGATTTGTCTCAATTTCCCATTGCGTGTGTCATTGTCCCTGATGAAGGGAAACTAAAGTTGTGGTCCGAACAGCTTTCATTTGTAGTGCGTACGGCGATTTTCCAGAACGAATTTGCCAGCTACATTGTACATGTACAGCAAAACCTGTAACTAAAGACCACCGTGACTAGCGACCAGCCTGGTACTACAGTAAAACCTGTAACTAAAGACCACCGTGACTAGCGACCAGCCTGGTACTACAGTAAAACCTGTAACTAAAGACCACCGTGACTAGCGACCAGCCTGGTACTACAGTAAAACCTGTAACTAAAGACCACCGTGACTAGCGACCAGCCTGGTACTACAGTAAAACCTGTAACTAAAGACCACCGTGACTAGCGACCAGCCTGGTACTACAGTAAAACCTGTAACTAAAGACCACCGTGACTAGCGACCAGCCTGGTACTACAGTAAAACCTGTAACTAAAGACCACCGTGACTAGCGACCAGCCTGGTACTACAGTAAAACCTGTAACTAAAGACCACCGTGACTAGCGACCAGCCTGGTACTACAGTAAAACCTGTAACTAAAGACCACCGTGACTAGCGACCAGCCTGGTACTACAGTAAAACCTGTAACTAAAGACCACCGTGACTAGCGACCAGCCTGGTACTACAGTAAAACCTGTAACTAAAGACCACCGTGACTAGCGACCAGCCTGGTACTACAGTAAAACCTGTAACTAAAGACCACCGTGACTAGCGACCAGCCTGGTACTACAGTAAAACCTGTAACTAAAGACCACCGTGACTAGCGACCAGCCTGGTACTACAGTAAAACCTGTAACTAAAGACCACCGTGACTAGCGACCAGCCTGGTACTACAGTAAAACCTGTAACTAAAGACCACCGTGACTAGCGACCAGCCTGGTACTACAGTAAAACCTGTAACTAAAGACCACCGTGACTAGCGACCAGCCTGGTACTACAGTAAAACCTGTAACTAAAGACCACCGTGACTAGCGACCAGCGTGGTACTACAGTAAGACCTGTAACTAAAGACCACCGTGACTAGCGACCAGCCTGGTACTACCGACCACTTCGCCAGGCACGGACGGTCTCACATTCAAAATGCACTGTAACTAGCGACTACCTGCTGAACGCGACCAGCGACCGCCTTTTCTTGTCCCAAAGACGATTTTTGACCCGTAACTAGCGACCGCGATGTAGGAAATCAAATGTTGCTCGAAGCTCCTTCTTGAAATTTTGATGATTTTCCGTGGTCCTGAAAGGCATCTTTCGATACTACAGCTGAAGAAATGAACGCAGGTCATTTTGACTGTGGAGTTGGTGTGGACTGCACTACACCTGTCAGAATTTCAAGCACTGTCAAGAATAAACATGATAGGAAACGTCTTGGAGAGCGTATCTAAAGCGCTCTCTGATTGATGTTACTACTCGGAGGAGAAACGAAGACTGAGCGGCTCTGTCACCCCAGTCATACAGCCGAATCGACGATTGCATCAAGGAATCCAGAAACAAAGCAGCACCGCAAGGTCCTGATGCTGGAGAATCGCGTTAAAGCAATCAAGAAGTCGCACAAAGGACAGTCGGTACCATTGATCGCATGAACAAATTTGAAGCCCAGCGCAAAACGAAACTTCCACAGGGAACGTTTGACTCCAGGCTTCAGAAGTAGGAGCTGAATTTGATGTCCGCAAAAAAATTAATCTCTCTCTCTCTCTCTCTCTCTCTCTCTCTCTCTGTCTCTCTCCATCTCTCCGTCTTTCTCTCCAAGTGTTGTTTGACCTGAAATAAGAATGGCATTGCGCAAGTCTTGGGAATTGTATTAGCTGCATTTTGATATACATATCATATAATGGGATCCATACATGTATATGGTCGCGCGGTGCAAACCTCTAACTAAAGACCACCTGCTACTAAAGACCGCTTTTGCTGGCCCCAAGGGGTGGTCGGTAGTCACAGGTTTTACTGTATTGGGTATTGAATCCGATTGGGTTATGGCAAGATGCTGAAAAAACCCGTGTTGTGCTCACCTTGGATAGATAAGGCGAGCGACTTTTTTGGGGAGGAGGGGGGGGAGGGTTGTGGGGACTGCTCTCCCACCACTCTCCTTGAGAGGATAGCGAGAGTGATTGTTCACTCTCCTGGATTTTTCTTACACGAAGGTCTGGTGTACTACATGCCGTGCCCTTAACTGTGCGTTTCTAGCAGTCTGCAAGGCACAAAAACCCTGGAGGGAAATGGAAGATTTTTGGATGTGCTGCGGACACTCCAAACTGACAAGGACAATGTTTCGTGCAAAACTGAACTGGCCGGTGAAGTTGACAGAACAGTTCGTATGCGCCGTTGAAAGCTTCAAACTATCAGCAGGAATACTACATCTTTCTATGTCACTGCTTTACACCAATTTCATAGCACTTATATTTAGGCACGAATGGACAGTCCAAGGTTCGAATAATCAGAAAACTCTAACAAGAATAAGAGGATGAAAAAGTGTTTTTGCTCCAAGTTTCACGCACTGTTAAAGCAATCATCAGAATCAGAAAACTCTATGGGAATCGTATTGACTGAAGTCAGCCCCGGAAAAGTTCCTGTTGAACGGTATGTTTGAATTAGACTGTTCATTGTCTGCATTCCACCTGCCCATGTACAAGTAAAACCGGTGTTTGCCGGACCCTGTACCAAGCGGAATCCTGTATTGACCGGACAAAATTCATGCACCAAAGTGCTGTGGATCGAACCTGCATCCCTGGGTTGAGTGGACTCCTGTCATGTCAGGACGGTTTCCGCTGCACCAAGGGCGTCCGGTTAGGACCGGTTGTACTGCACTTGCTTGTTTTGAAGTACTGTCATTTCACAAGTGTTTGGTGTACTTTTATTTTCGGTATTTTCGGTACGTCTGTTTCGTACCTAAAATTTCAATGCACCCAACAAACACTAACGCACATAATCCAATAGGGAACTGCTTCTCTGTACCTAAACTATCTGCTCACCAACCTGGCTTTTTGCCCTCATACCGAAAATTTTGAGCACCTAAAATTGCTGAAATAGAGTATGTTTTGATTTGACCGTGCGTCTTGTATCCTTAGGAGCGCGACTGGAAACAAGTGGAGAGCGACATCAATAACGTTGCTGGTGAGCAAGTACTATAAATACGACTCGTATACATCTTACACTTTGTGTCGTAGGATTTTGCAATGAAGTATTCTGTGCGCCAAGGGTTTTACTGTGAATGTCTCGTCCGAATTTGTGTTGATTCAATGTGTGCAGTAAATCTTCTACTTCTAAGTAGCCTCTGTCCCGGCACATGCAGTTGAGCAATTCTTACGAGTGTATGCTTTCTTGCCTTGTGCTCAGGTGTTGTTGAAGTTGGGCTTTTCGTTGGCATGGCTAACGTTGCCTACTTCGGAATGGAAGACGGAACTGTCAAGACCAGAACGCCATGATAATAGTGGCTTATCCAACTATGACACTATGACGGACTCGCGGTGGTGTACACCCGGACCTGACGTTCTCCTGCTTTCCTACACGGCCAGCAACAACCAGCAGTGCGTAATGTAATGTGCGCGTGTGTGAGAGTGTGTGCCTAATTATAACACTAAACACAGCACCGCAGACTTGCTATATATGTTGGCTTGTGGCTTTGGTGTGCGAGCCCTGCACACTTGCCTAGCATTAGTAGTTTGCGGCAGTAAGCCTTGGCCAAACGTATACTGACTGGCCTTGCTAACCCACCCTCGCCATGCTAGGCAAGAATGTACGCGTGCATGCATGCGTGCGTGCATGTCAACCAAAGAACTGTTCACAGCACTAGTAGTATCTTCACACGCGGCCTACAGCCAACATAGTTGAGTTTCACAGCTAGGCAGACGTTAGCACTGCACTGCCACTCTCTGTGCTTTGATTCTGGCCAATGATTTGAGTATTTCATGCAGCTCTCATTAACCAATTAACCGTCCATCTACCTGGAAATGTATGCTCCAGGAATACCCTATGCCCCGACCTTGGCAGTGTTACTCTTTAGACGAATGCTAGCCCTTGAATCGTTGAAGTAGTCAACGGTTTATTTTAGTGTAAGATTAACCATACATTTTGCTATGGTTAGCAATTGCCAGATACATTTTGCTAGCATATTATAAACTAGATGCGAACGTAAACTAAAAAAATGCTACCTGGTCAACCTGCGGCCCTCCTCCTTTGGTACAGGTGTGCTGATATCTTTTTCAGGGAGAAAGTGAGAGTGTGTTTGCGTATGTGTATGTGTATGTTTGTGCAGGTGTGTGTGTGTGGAGGGGAGGGGGGGGGGGTGAAATGGCTATGTTTTCATATTTAAAGTTCGGGAAAGAAGTCATTCCATACGGGTTAGTTTAAAGGGGGGGGGGGGCTACTATGTACAATGTCTTTGGGTCTGGATGCATTTTCCAACCTGGTCAACTCCTCATAGTAAGAATCCTGAAGATACGTTTTTCTGGTTTGAGGGAAAGACACAAACGGGAAAAGTCTGAAGAAAAAAATTGACTGTCACCACCAGGATTCGAACCAGGGACCTTCACTGATACATGTACTAAACATTGATAATACCCGATGATCCCAATACATAAGATCTAAGCCCACTGGTGATTTTTTACTGATGATTCCGATAGGGCATTTTGTAAGTGAACTTCTCAAGTCAGTGTCTCCGCACCTCAAGCTTTGTATGTTAGGACTGTGCACCAGCAGTCGGGTTGATGCCTGTGTTTAAGTGTGTTACCATGGATTTCAAGCGTAATTTGGTAGGAAAATTGTCAAATACCCGATCAGGTATTTGGCATACGCGTGTACATGTCAGCGTATGCCTTCATTTTCGATTTCCTGCCATATTTAGCTCTGTCTCAGTGTCTGACCAATTTGATAATGTTGGACTTGTTGGAAAGGTAATATTACCCGTGCTGCCTGAAGAAAATGACCTGGACCAAGCGGGTACACGTAGAAAACGCCGCCCTGCACAGCCTGTAGCTTGTACTGAAGTACTGTGTCTGCGTGCAGCATTCAGTGATGCCATAGTGACATGCTTGCTCTTGTTCAGTCAGTGTGTGCTTTCATGTGTCACATCTGTAGAGAACTCTTGCCATGACAGAAGCACACCGGCCAGTTGAAATTAATTTCCTGCATGATTTCCCTGGCCGTTGCGCGGATTGCGGAGAAGGGCAGCCTGTTCGATTACACCGTGCGTATGCTGGCTGATCCTGCAGAACTCCATAACCGAAATCCACACAGTCTAGTTAGTAGTGGTGCGTGTATGGTGCTGCTCAATGAAATCCAATCAAGCGAGTCACTGTCATGCAGGGTGCCGTGCAACCCTACACCTGCGAACACTGAGATGTGAACTGGCGCAGGGCGCAGACTTGATTCACGAGATCGGATTATTCATTGAGCCCTTTCTGATATATCTACACTGGGTACACTTGCAGGTAAATAATAAATTTCTAAAGCCTTGTATACATATGTGAAGAAGAGGTTGGTGCGACTTCGGCGACCTCTTCTTCACATTGTTGTCCCCAGCGCGGGCTTGCGAATTAGATGGTTTGTAGGCAACGACATTGTGAATGGCCAACGGTCCTCAGCGCTTGTTCAGCACCTCCATGAGCGACACTGACTCGCGCTGCTATCTGGTGTTCACGAGGTGTTTGTCGCGCTGGAAACGGAGCGTCTCTGTAAGTTGTATCCCCGGTGATGTTTGTGCCTGGAGAGCACTATATAAGATTAAAGTGATGCTCTTCAGGCACAATCTTCATCAGCCTACTCAAGCTCAACTGATGAGGGGTGAATTCCCCGAAACACTGTGTATTGAGCAGGGAGGGTGCTTTCTTGCAGGTTTGCCGAGTGGACGGTTCGATGGACTTCTCGTGTGCTCTGGATGGCAGTCGTCACGGAGTCAGTCAAGTGAGAATTCAAGTCGGCAGGAAAACCGCGAGCTCCCATGTAGGTAGCAACACACACTTCCCCTTGTATACATATCACCCATAATGACTTAAAAAATCTCAGATTTTGAGTTTTATCCACTCTCTACATAATTCTATTTTCATTATTGTATTGGTTTGGTGAGACTCCCATGATACATGTAGGTATCCATTTACCTCTGGAGAATCCGTAAATAAACAATACAATAAGCGGTTCTGCTGACTCAGGACCATGACAACATTCGTGGCATAACCTCTAAAGGGCACAGCACGTGCTGCTGCACTGCACATTAACCGAGTGCTCTTCACTCTACTGTGTGCCTGATCAGGCAGAAACCGTGTTCTCATTTTGTCAGGAGAGAGGTCATAAGCTAGGCTATTAGTACAATGTACTGTCAATAGTCATTGTATTGTTTGTAGTTGAACAGTGTAAACCGGGTAAAGTGGTGGTTAGTGCTTGCCACCTGACCCCAGCAGCTGGACAGGCTGTGACCCTACAGGCTATATGACATGTACATGTCTACACTGGCTATGCACACTCACTACTACTACTACTACTACTACTAGCACTGTGTTACAAACATACATGTACATTGTACATGTACAGTAATTCGGCTACATGTATTGGCATATTGCAGACTACAGCCTACTACTACTACTAGTACATGTACAGTCTGTATCGGCTATAGCGTACCCTTTTGATTTCCGTGATTTTATCACTATAACCGATGCATCACTATATGCGATACGATCGATTTTTTTCGAGCGACACATGAAAGGCAAGGAAATACTTCCAGCATGGCGTTTTGACAAATGAGCATGCTGCATAGTTGACAGTGCCCGCATTTCCATAAAAAATTCTGTTTTGTACATGTACATGTGTCACTATCAAAATAAGCAACGTGAAGAAAGTAAAAAAATAGGGCCTTTGATATTATTGCAACATGTATTTTAAAGTTATCACTATAGCCGATAATAATATAGTGTGCTATGCATGTTTTGATTCTATGTTGCCATCATAATATCCGATATATCATTACATCCGATAATATTGGTTATAGTGATATTTGTACAGGATAAAATACGTTTTGCTTTTGATATTTCGTACCAATATCACTGTAGCCGATATATTCTTATATCCGGTCACTCAATAGCCGATACAGACTGTACATGACGTATTGTACAGTACAGACTAGGCAGTGCAGTGCCAGTGTAGCATTGGTGTATTTTAAAAGGCGACATGTACTACAGTGTAGTACGGTATGTGGTTGCACTACAAAAAATAATTATTTATTAGTGCATGGGTGTGCATACCAAGACAGCATGGCAAGACTCCCAAGAGTAAAAAATAACATATGGTGTCTTCCAGGAGGCAGGGGCAAGTCGAAGAGAAGCTCTCATCCGGGGATATACTAATTAATTCTTGGGCGAAAATTCGGAAAAGAATTGAAGTTTGTTTAATTTGGAAAGATTTGGAGAGATTTTCGTTTTTGTGTAGCCAAGGACTTTGTGCGGCTGTGGGGGGTAGAAATTAAAATCATTCATGACAAGGCTACAGCTAGTACAGTCAGAGGAGTTATGCCATTCTTATTATACATAATTGTAGTCACTACTCACTAGTATGTATACACATTATTACATGTATTGTCATATTGATAAAGACAGCTACTGTACGAAGACAGTACAGTGATGAGCATTTTGTCAAATGTCCATAATTATTATAATAATCTAATCAGGCCAAACTAAAGAAGGTGTGTGGTTCGACTAACATGGACATTTTTTTTACGGGCGGGCGGGCGGATTTTTTTTTTTAATATATTTTTTAGTACATGTAAATACACTGTATACGCGTATCGAGTAGACTCTACTAGTATACTACCAGCACAAGGCAGCAGTCGTACCACTCACTGCACTGCACTGCAGTACAACTACAAGTCAAGTCCAAAAGGAGCCGCCTGCGTCCGCAGACTCACGCCGCACAGCACGTAGACCACTGGTAGACGTGGACATGTTCAGTCCACGTACGTCAGTCACACGACAGCCCGCCGAAAAAAAGTTACGGTCGGGCTGAAATTGTACGGTCGGTCGGGTGAGTCGAACCACACACCTTCTTTAGTTTGGCCTCATGCCAAAAATTAATGATTTTGAGCTGCAAGCCTGCATGACTACTTGCGATCATGATTATGCCAAGCATTCAACCCCTCGCTAACAGTGACGTAACTGAATGGTGTAATGTCCTATTTTGGGAGCCAAGGGAAAGGTGGCGAAAATCTCCTTTCCAAGGTCCCTGAGACCCTGACGCACTCGGGCACTCTTTGTTCCACGCTGATCTAGCGCCATGGTCCGCAGCGTTTCTTTCACCCAAACCGAAAAACCTATGCAGCCAGTCGATCTCCCGAGCTAGCTCAACGGCTCTTCACTGGAATCGATAGAGCAAGCAGAGAAAACTGTTTGGAGGATGAGTCACCCGCAGTGTTCGTGCTAGCTGTAGAGCTAAAGTCAGCTAAACCTGCCAAGGCTGCAGCGCGCTTGTCGATTCCTACTACTACTACCTTGACTTTATAAGTAGGCTCGCCGAAGATTGGAGAGGTCTAGCTCCACGCTGCGTGGGGAATGGCCAGCCAAATGCGGCCATCAGAAGGACAAACGGCTGGCTATGGCCTTGATTATCAGCAGTCATACGCACAACACAAGGTCGCTGCAATGGGTCCGCCGCACAGCCACAGAAGGGTAAGAGCAGCATGCACGCGATTGCCAGAAAACGTTGAAACCTTCTGCCACGGGCCAACTCCTGACTTTGGTCTCCTATTACTACAGTATTAGATTGTTGTCGGTCTGTGTTTTCGAATTATTTCTGTCAAATGTATGGATGGCGCACTCAGTTGTGCATGACGAACTGGACGCTAGCGAGCACATGGCCAGTACAGGCAGTAGTACAGCCAAGCTTTGCTTCTACTTACAATCCCAGAAGTCCCCTATTCTTATTCTAGTACTAGACAGAGAGCTGCTCAGCATTACTAACGCGTGTTGTCTAACGTCACCAGGACTAATCGTGCTGTTTACGTTCTGATTTTTGATAACTTTCCGAAAGGACTCCGCTCCGAATGGCTACCACCTGATTCAGCCCAGAATGTCCGACCGCGCACAACAGGAGAACTACTTGGAACCGAGAAGGCGCAACACTGCGGGAGATCATGAGCTTCAGCAAGCTCAAGCAGTGGTGAGTGAGTGGAAATCACGCACTGAGTCAATGCCATAAAAAACAGTGGAGTCAAACATGTACAAGGAAAGTATGCAGTTGCTCTGCTGTGCATTCTCCTCCGACTACTACTTTCTTCACCGACAACTTTCTTTGTGAGAGTGCGGCGTACTGGCTGTTTCCGAAGAGCAGTTACAGGGTCATAGGACATGCTACGGTCACTACGAGTGCGGTATAGGGCTTGGAAGTGCTACGTCACAGCAAAGCAACAATTTCAAAAATTCAAAAACTGGATCCTCTTGGATCCAGTTTTTGTATGGATCCAAGCACATTTCAAGCCGTCTTACTCACAGCAAGGTGATGTAACCAGTGAAACTGACTGATTTGGCTATTGGGGGGGGGGGGGGGGGGGGGGTTACAACTGGTGGCGAAGTAAAAGTCACCCCTGCATACGACATGAGTGGGTTGCTATGCACCCACATACTGAGGCAATAGCAAAGTCACACCTTAGTGGATCCAAAATAGAAATCTGATGTCAACTTACTACTCCCTGGCCGTTTTTGACGTCATCACCTTCAAGCCCTATTGACCGTAGCACTCTTTGTCCCAGGTAACCCCGTGAATCAATGAAATGCACTGATTTGGGCTCTAAATTTCAAGCATTTTCGGAGGAGCCACCCCAACCGCACTAGTAAGTTGTACTTCAGGTGGCTGACCGTATCACCCTAAAATACCTTCCGACGTCCCTGTGTTAGAAAGCGACGGCGCTATTGCCATGTACTGGACTCGCCCGATTAGACCCCTGTCTCGAATAGTGCCCCTGTCTCGGAGGGCCAATGAAAAAATATAGCCCTCTCTTGAATAGTCATGATAAAGCAAGGTGGCCAGGCAGTTGCACGCTCCACACGCATGGTATTCATCATGCTTGCAGCAAAGCAGGCAGGCACAGTGGGTTAGTCTAAGACCATGATTGAGAAACGAGAGGTACCAGGTTCAAGTCCTGCTTGGAAACGGAAGGATTGTTTTCCAGCCTGCTGCGACCCAAGTGAATTGGGAACTCGTGGCCTGGCACGAGGAAAACATGGATGTGGCAAATGGGATTTTGGCATTTGGCCTCTGGTTGGTGGATCTGATCTATCCCCCCCCCCCCCCCCACACACACACACACACCGTTTAGGAGCCGCATCTGATGCCTGATACGGGGTGGTGGCGTCCCACGGAAGCGGAAATGTGGTTCTTGACCCGCCCGGTACGTGAACCGTCCAATTATTTGTTTGCAGCAAACTGGGTGGGTTTTCCCCAGTCGTCCACCATTGATTCTGTATCCACGGCACTGAGAAGCAAGAAGAACCACCTCTTACCTATGCTCCATCACTACAACATTGATGCATGTAGAAACTGCGACATACCCAACAGTTTTATGAGGCTCCTACCATTAGCTGCCTCTGCTCTCTCCTGCTTCTGTTTCTTCATATTTCAGTGGTCGTGTGTTCGAGGTGAACAATTATTAATTGAGAAAACAAGTATACTGGAGCTTGCCATGATTATACTTTCAATGGTACAATTTCTAAGCCAATGCCAGGGTTTCATCGCTGGTAACTGTTATTGATTCTGAGATTGTGTGCGTCTCGGGAGTGCGTAAAACCTGAGCTGACCAGATAGAAAACACATCAAGAGTGGTGTTGCACAAGTAGTAACACTAGTAAGTCATGTAAGTAAAGTAAAGTTTGCACGTCCACGTTACCACCGGCTATACAATTGCGTTGAGAAACACAACCAGCTTAGGAAGTTTCGCATGTGCCAGGCCACCACCATGCCTGTGATACCAGGGTGGCGGATGCAGCGCCTAACGGCGAGGGTGAGGTGGTAAGTCTCACAACCAATGCCCGACAAGGGGGCTAACCTCGTTAGCTGCATTCATGTTACCCTCACTCCGAGTAGTGAGTACCCAGTTGACCGTGGGTGTCGGCGCAGTTCACTGCATGTAAAGGGTTCACGCATGCATCACCGCATTTGCTAGCACAGTACACGCTCCCTGCTCCCAGCGCGGGTCTCGAACTCGGGACCTTGTGATTCGCAGGCAAGCCCACAACCACTCGGCCAAAGCGCTGGTAGTAGTAGTATTCTTTTATGTAAATTGTTCCATCGGAAGCCTCAACAGTGATTAACACAACTCTTAAGAGGGCTGATAACACAGTAGAGGGGTGAGTTGAGAAAAAGAATAATAAAAAAGTCAAGATATATAACATGTCTTTGTGCATTTATGAGAGAAATCGCAGGAGTGGTTTCATATTTGCAGGAGTTGTACATTGTATCATATTTACAGGAGTGGTATCATATTTGCCGGCGATGTACGAGTATTCCAGTGTCATTTGACTTTTTCTGGTTTGCTTTTTACTGACATTCGCTGCAGCTTGGTCGTGCGTATCCGCCAACAAAGCATCATTATGCTGATGATAGAAACGGAGCCTACAGCACTGACATTCCCCACTACGATGAGCGAACAACAGCAGCAACAACGACAGCAGCAGCAATGCCATACGAACAGGCAGCAGCGACAGCGCCTGCTTCTGCCAGTCAGGCCCACTACGGACGCTCCCATTCTGCCTCTGCTGGCACGGGCAGCACGTCTGGTGCGGGTGGTAGCGAACGTACTGGCAGAACGACGGGTCCTCACTCTGGGCGACTGCAGGCTGTCAACGAGATGATGCCATCACGATCAGGCATATCCAGTAGTAATCAAGCTGGAGAAGCGCTCATCTCCAGCGCCACCGCAGGCAAAACAGCACAGCCAGCCACCGGGGGTATGCAAAACGTTATAAGCATTTTCGTTCAGGATAAGGTACGCAGCACACCGCGACCTGTCACCTCGCCAGCAGTTCTCGGCGTTAGTGAAGCGGGGCAGCCTCCTCAGCGCGACGTCGTCGAAACAGGACAGGTCACGGCAACTGGCACTGGAGCGAATTATCCGTATGCCGGGCATGGTGCACCGCTGTCGGGCCACCACGCCAGCTCTCACATGCCTGGGTCATCAGCTGGGTATGGCTTTGATCGACGTGACTCGAGAAGTGCAGCATGGGATAGTCAACCACACCACCAGCACCAGCACCAGCAGCAGCAAGCTGGAGATGCCGGGCGATCAAACTACAGTGGCCATGTATCCAGCAGGCAATATTCAGGTCACCAGCAAGCAGAACCTGCTCAGCAGAACACCAGCCGCCAGCATAGCTCCGAGCAGCGCTCTGGAAGAGCTAGTGCACAGCAGGCAGCTGCACCATCCAGACAAGCGTCCACGCCTGACCAGCAGCTGCAGGCGAGACATCCCTCCTCTGGCCTTGTACAACGTGTGTCACCATCCAGTGATTACAACCCAGGACAGAATAACCATGGGCATGTTCAGCAGCAGCAGCAGCAGCAGCAGCAACAACAAGCACCCACTCAGTATCAGCCATATCCTCCACAATCCCACCCTACTGGCCACTATACAGCAGCAGCACCAGCAGCAGCAGGGCAGGTGGAGACTCAGCGAGGCTTGCCACCAGCACGGTATGATCTGGAGAGCACGGAGAACGCTGCTCCTGGGCGTCAGCAGGAACCCAGTCCAAGAAAAGGTAGTGGTAATGCTGCGGCTACAGCGGCATCTACCTATGTGGCAAGTCGGGGCAACCCAACCTCGGCAATGGTAGATCCAAGATACTCCCATGCTAACCAGACAGCAGCTAACGTCGGATACGACCACCAGGTGAATAACGTCAGCGGACACATCACGCGCACGCCGAGTGGCCCACAGCAGTACACGACGTTACAGGAGCATCCGATTCCCCCATCTGCGCCTGGTCAGTATGGCCCTGGGCAGGCAACTGCAGGGTATGGGCCTCCTCCAGGACAACTTCCCCCTCCGGAGCAGAGGCAACGCCAGCCACAGCCACAGTACGTGTCGGTCCCCGGCCAAGGTCAAGAGCGAAATCATTCCCAACCGCAGCAACTGCCAACAAGTAGGCCTGAAGACCTGCAAGCCGTTGGCCGAGGTGTCCCGTCGCAGCGCTCCTCACAGCCACACCACCCACATGCAGAGCAGCCACTACCGACGAACGGCACTCCAGAGCCTACATCAACTCGCCATGAATATGAACCAACGCGGGCTGTCTCAGGGCGTCAGCCGAACCCAGCAACACGGAGGGTGGTGGAAGATGGAGCCTCTCGAAGCCGAGCTAACGCACTGGTTGATGATCAGGCGTTTGAAGTAGGTGATCGACATCCCCAGGTGCATGGTGTGGTGAGAACAACCAACCAGACAGGTGACAGGCACACTTCTGGGGAGTTTCAGCAGCCACAGCCACAGCCACAGCCACAGTCGCAGCAAAGTCGACCGTTTCGTTCGGTAAGATGTTTGCCCTTTGTGTTGTACAAATCACTTGAAATCAGTCGGGAATTCTCCGGCATTCAAGTTTTCAACTACCCGTATGTGTATGCATGTATGGTCAAGTTTTGCCATCGCAAATGCAGACCCATAGCCGGAAGTTGCACGCTCTTGGGGTATGGGTTATGTACTCTTGATTGTGACTTGTAAGTTCCACTGTCTGGTAGCAATGCTGTGTCTGAGTCGCAACATTGGTGTCCCCCACGTAACTGTTGTAGATATCTTGAAAACAACAGCACATCATATCCTGCATTGTGTGACCCGTGATATTATTCTTCCGTGCCACACATTCATTTGAGGCCGGAAAAGACCAAGGATAGGCAATTAGAAATTCGGACAGGTTTTACGAAATTTGGACAGGTATGCCATGGCAAAATGTATGGAGAAGCAAAACCCAGATAGAATTGTAATGTTGGTAACCAAATAGGTTATGTCTGCTGCATTGCATCAGGGTCCTAGATATCAGACTGGGTCGCACCTTTCTCGTCCCTGAGGCTGCTGCTTTTTCTCTAGTGGGCAAGACGCCTTTTGAGGCTACTTCATACTGCTGCTGTGTACCAAACACCTTCTCCTAATCTGGTCAGGTTTCACAGCTGACGCCATTGGAGGTGGGTCGGGGGCGTCCCTTGTGAAAATGTTGAAATTAGGGTGCAAAATCCTGCATTCCGGGCACTTTTGGCATTGTGTAAAAAAAAGTGTTCCGGCCGCACCGGCTACTACACCCCTGTGCTGTGCTATTTGTACTAAATTTGCTCTATTTCAATTTGTACTGACTGTGTCCGGCGGCAGTTAGGTGCAGCTCAATGGCAACTTTGCTAAGTATTATGGACCATGAATGGAATGATTTCACATGGATTGTGCAGCACTGAGTCTTCTGCAGCCGCCTTATTTACCAAGCTATCCTTTGGTGTGTGTGTGTGTGTGTGTGTGTGTGTGTGCGTGTGTGCGTGTGCGCGTGTGTGTGTGTGTGTGTGTGTGTGTGTGTGTATCAAGGTCAAGGTGTGTGTGTGTTATGTACCAACCATTGATCAAACATCATCAAGTCATTATTGTTATTGGAAAAAGCCTTGGAAGAAGACCAGACTAAAATAGGAACAAGAAGCTCGTGTGCGCATGCGCAATACATAGATAGTGAAGTAGTGCAGAGTAGTAACATTAGTACTACAGAGAGAGACACCACAGTGTGTGTGTTGAAGTATCGTAACGTTGGGTTGTATCTGTAGGGTTGACAAGGCAGGGCAGTGCTCGTAAAATGTGTACAGTCAACTTCGCATAACGACACTCGGCGGGGCATCAAAAAGGTGTCGTTATTCGCGAAGTGTCGTTATACCCGAAGTCTCATTATTACAGTTGGATGGAACTTTGCTCTGGGCATGGAAATTCTGTCGTTATTCGCGAATTGTCGTTATATCCGCAGTCGTTATTCGCGAAGTTGACTGTACATGATTTCCGGCATACTCGCTGTGGTACTTGTGCAATCTCCACCCAAGTGAATGATACACACAGACACTCCTAGGCACAGACAGGCAGACAAACAGACTTTTAAACTCACACACAGTAGTTACAGGTGTCGGTACGGGCACTGCACTTTCCCCCACTGTCAGATATAGTAATGAGTGAAAAACCGGGTGAAACCCTTAGTGGCAACATGACAGGGCAACATGGCAGCACGGAAACAGGGCACCATATCATAGCAAAATCGGAATAGGTAAGATCAAGATGCACAGACATGAAGGGCGGGAGGGCAGGGACACTGGTGAGACTCAAAAGCTGACTGAAGATGAGCGAGCTGACAGGCGAGCCGACAAAACTGCTCTGCTCTCTGCCTGGTATTGAGCAAAATGTGGAGACTCCCTCGATTTAGGCTAAGGCCTGTGGAGAATCCACAAATACAAATACAGATGCTGAAGAAAAGAGTAATGGACATTGGATGCCTTATTTGCAATAGCAGTGGGATGCATGAGAAATCATTTCTCACCCATCCCGCTGCTCTAGGCCGGTGAGAAATACATAATTTGTTTGTCCAGAGGCTGGTCCTAAAAGACTTTAGATATTGATAGTGCTCGCTCCTCTGTGTGTCTTTGCAGAAATCGGGTGCTGGTGGAACTGTCAGGCCGTCGGAATCAAGAACTGAAAGGTGAGTGCCGGTCAGCACGCAACTCCTGCATTGATACATTCGTGCATTCATGCATTATCATTGGTCAGATCAGGACTCCACGAGTCGGTGTTGGTAACACGTCGCAGTAAGGCAATACAGTAACGACGATGGGTTTCCTTTCCTCACACAGACTTGCTAATGCCTAGATAGAAACAAGCCACAGACTTGCTAATGGCTAGATAGAAACAAGCCGGAAAATTCTACCGGAGAAGAATACTAAAATTTCACGGAGAAGAAAATCTAAAAATGTCTAGCCATCCCAAACCCCGACCACCATCCCCTCCTGGAATGATTACTTTTATAGCCCGTCTTACACACCTGAAATAATGGGCCAATCAGAGCAAGTGCAGGAACAACAGCCATCAGCAAGCCAAGAGCCGGGAAACACTTGCTGAACTCTGATTGGCTGAGGCCGGTTGACCAATCATTTCAGGTGTGAAGTACAGCCAGCGTAGGCTATAAAAGTAATCAAGAATTTTAACTTAGATTTTCTTCTTTTTAATTTAGATTTTCTCCGGTAGAATTTTACGGCTTCTTTCTCCTTCCTCATGCAGAAATGCAGAAACAACAGCCAAGAGGATAAAAACACTTGCTGAACTCTGATTATTGTGCTGATGGCTGAACTCCTGTTGTTTCTGCTTGAGGAAGGAAAAACAAGCCGTAAAATTCCCGACCACCATCCCCTCCTGGAATAATTACTTTTATAGCCTACGCTAATTTTTGCGTGCTAGCTGGCAGACACACCCACACACACAACAGAAACATACAGATCACAGTAGTTTGTTCACTCGTTTCATTTTCATTTTCATTCGCTACGCTCAGCCAACGAAAAATACACATTTCAACAATGATTCTACCAGAGAAGAAAATCTAAAATTCTTTGTTTGTGGTTTGGGATGGCTTTTCTGTTCAGCCCAGGTTTGAATAAATCAATGGTGTTGCTGGGCGTTTTGCTCCTTGCATGCATGAATACAATGTGGACTGGATCCAATCTCTCTTTTCGTATACCTTCTGCTGCTACATACTGATAGATTAGGATCTACCGGTGCATCATCCTCAGTGCGTCGTGGCCATGCTCAGCCGGAGCAACGTAGCCACACAGCCCCTGTGCCGGCTAAGCACAGAGCAGCATCATCGGGGGAAACCCCCAGCAGAACTGGGCACCCAGCAATGCGTCGTCTCTGCACCTACCCGCCCGAAGTACCTGATGAGCTCCGGCAACTGAATAGCAACCTCACAGCACAGATGATCCTATTCATGGCGCCAAGCGAACATGATCAGTGTGAACTACAGCTGGCTGAGCTACTGGCTCAGTCCTTTCAATCTCCCAACAAGCCACCAGGTAACTGAAGTGTAAAGTAGTCCTTCAAATCAGCCAAAAACCACCAAGTTCGTCAGGGAAGAGAAAAGTGGGTGACGGTTTCTTGTTAGCATCAGTGTTCCAGCTGCTGCTGGTAGTTTATCAGTACCAAGTGCCGCTGTCCTTCTTCCTGTGTTGTCACCCTAGCATGCAGGTGGGTTCTGTAGCAATGTGGATATTGTACAAAGAGAGCTTGATCATGCACATTTGAGGAGCAGCATTCCGTCATTCCGTCTTTATTGGCCCTCTAAGTTTGCATTTTCAAAAATTATGTCGGAGGCAATTGAACACAAGCTTTGCAATTTCAGTTGCCCAGCATTATTATCCCAGCAGCAAATATGTCCGGATATGAACCGATTTTTTTGAGTTTCACAGATTCTATTTTTTTGAGTTTCAAATCCTTCATTCACTAAGCGGCCATTTTGTGATGGGGTTAGCACATGCAGAGGCATGGGGACTTGCTAAGGTCATTGAGTGTTGGCTGTTCCACCGGCTAAGGTCATTGAGTGTTGGCTTTTGCCCCAGGTGCCCTGATTTAACTTTTGGGGTAGCTCATAATCAGATAGGATCATCGTCCCGGACTACTGTACCATGTGAAAATGCCTCCCAAGGACCCTGATATGCGTTTCAAGCGATATATCCGGAGAAAATGTGGAAAAAAGACATTAGTATCACATACATCCCGTGCAAGTCCCTGCCCAAAGAGCGCCATTTCCTATTTCCTTTTATTCCCCAAAGGGTGACATTATCGACTCGCATCAAATCCGCTCAGTCCCCGCGACGTACGGTTCACTCAATTCGGACCGTATGCAGTGGTTTTTCAGCGCAACCTTTCTGCATCGATGGTCATTATTACTAGTATACTATCACAGTCCTGTCCAGAGAAATCCGACCTCACGAATTGTTACTCAATATTAATAGCGCCAAGGGTTACACGACCCAAGTACCACACACTGCTGTGCACTTGAGCGCGGCGTCTCTACTTCACTCACCTGGACAGTAGTACAATGTATACTATAAAGTATAATGAGTATTTACTGTGGATGCCGCATTTACACGTACACAGAAGCGAACTGATCACATGCAGGTACCCGGGCACCCGTTCTACCCAGTATTCAAAGAGGGTCTTTTTCACGTTGCACATGTAATTTAGATTGACCTCTCGCAACAGTCTTACACACACGTCTCGATAACATACAAAGTTTCTGACCCCAGCTTACGGTCATAGCTAGGCGCTACCCAGGGGCGTGTGCAGGAATTTGACGAGGGGGGGGGGGGTGCGTCTGTCTGGGCCTAGTGCACGACGCGCGAGGGTATGACGCGCGAGGGTATGGCGCGCCTGCCAACACCTGGCTCTGATGACTTGACTTTCCTGCAAATGGATTCGTAAGGGAATCTCGACTACATTCACATGATACGGAGAGATGCATTTGGAGTCTTCAAAATATCCCTTATGAGTTAGGGCATTTGTCCGAAGAAATTGGTGCCTTTGTGTAAAAATTGCTCGATTATTAATTTATTATGCGTTCAAGCCCCCGCCAGCCCTATAAGGGTGTGTGGGGGGGGGGGGAGGAATGAAGAAAAGTGGACATCAGACCCTATTGTGTGTTACTGAACTGTTAAAAATTGGCAAGCGCTGTGGACACTTCAAACGTCACTGGAATAATCCTGCGACTAACCCAAGCAGTGAGTAGGGCAATTTCATGGCTGGTTATATACCGGCGGTTACTCTTGCCTTGCTACGAGCTCTATTCAACCAATCAATGGACGCGTTCGATTACACACATTCCGGTCAATTCTAGAATTATTTCTGGTGGATGCACCGTTCGATTACACAAATTGCGTTCAATTCCAACAGAGTTCAGTCAATTCTGAAGAGAGGGCAGAATACCAGAATTGCTAAATCCGGAATTGATGCACTCGACATAATTATAACGCCATGCTTGGTCCACGTGCGCGCAAGGGTGCACGGGATCCCACTTGATCCCCTTCTATGTTTTTACGTGTAGTCGTTCGTTTACATGGCCGCAATCTCGGTTCATTCTGTTTATTCGAGAATTATGCCCAAATATGTAATCGAAAGCGCCCACTAATTTGTTGATGCTTCAAGAGAAGGAAAGGCTGCAATGCCGCTACTGAAATCATCTGCTTAAGTCATAGTAAAGTGTTCTCATGAAATATAATACGCAAGAGGTACACAAAAGGAAGTATATAGGGCTGTTTTTTGTTGTAACTCAGAGTTTCATGGCAAAAACCAATCATCAGACAACACGTTGTCTGATGATTGGTTTTTGCCATGAAACTCTGAGTTACAACAAAAAACAGCCCTATATACTTCCTTTTGTGTACCTCTTGCGTACTACGCTCTGCCCATTCCGGGCATTTGAGCACTATTGCAGGTTAAGGCGCACACCCTCTGTGTCATGAAATAAAATATAATGTACATGTTAGGGCCTACATGTACAATGCTTGCTGGGCAACACCTACTATCCCTTTCTTTACTTTTTGCATTGTACGCTTTTTGGATATCCGCATGAAGCAGTTGGCCCTGTGACACCATCTTGACCTGCACGCGGGAGACCAAGGGCACGTTCGAATGGTCACTCTTTGACTTTTTGAGGAGTTTCGTTTTTCTGAAGAGGTGACCGAAACTCCTTTTCGAAAGTCCACAACCTCATCCGATGGAGAGGTGGATTTATATAAATAGTTCCGAAAAGTTTGTAATAGCTACGCGTGACGTCGATCTGATCGTACGTCATTATCGCCATGACAATTCCACTGAAAAATTCTAAAATGATAGAAACCGTTCTATTGGGAAACTTACTAATCTCTTTTAAAGTTTGTGTTCTAAAAGTTGATGAAGACAATTCGAACGCCCCCTAAGTACCGCGTACCGGGCTAATGACCGGTTGGAAGATGTACTAGATACTGTACTAGTCGACCATGCATGTAATCACTCATAGTATTAGGGGCCGTCCGTAAATACATGTATTTACTTAGAGACGTCTAAGAGGCGTTTCTGGTGGGTGGGTTCGCCTGAAAGGCGTTTCCAAAAAAATACATTTCGGAGTGCATGCATACCATACTACGCGTGTACATGATGTCATGTACAATGTACATGATGTCATGTACATTGTACATGATGTAGCACTGCTACATGTAGTACCAAGACTAGAGGGTTATACTCTTGCTATAAATTTATAGCACCTACATTATTAAAGGGGAAGTTAAGGCAAAAATTAAAATTTCACCAGTTGTAGTCTTCGGGGTGCTGAGTCGAATGGTCGTGGTCCGAGGAAGCTGAGACGCTCCCTTCCTACTTGAATCCCAATCGAACTCGCGCACTTCCACCGAAACTGGGTGACTGCGCCCTACGAGATGGGGATTTGTATGCAAAATGTCACTAAAAGCGCCATTTCGTTCTTATAAAAGCACGGATGACCGCGATTGGCCCATATGTTGTAGTCTTTTGGACGCTGAGTCGACTGGTTTTGGTCCGAAAAGGCTGCGATGCAGCGTTCCGCCTTTATTCCCAATCGAACATGGTTGAAGAAGCGGTCACGTGCTCCTGCGTACGCCAGTCACCTGGTCACCGTGCCTGCAGGGTACAACTTACTAGCCTGTTTGACCTTTTTTGGGTGCAGTCCTGTCACTCGAGTTGAACTCGAGTTGAACCTTGGTGTGAAAGTTGTCACCTGCTGGCGTGGTGACCAGGTGATTTGGGCACCCAGGAGCACGTGACCACTTGTTCAACCATGTTCGATTGGGAATAAAGGAGGAACGCTGCATCGCAGCCTTTTCGGACCAAAACCAGTCGACTCAGCGTCCAAAAGACTACAACATATGGGCCAATCGCGGTCATCCGTGCTTTTATAAGAACGAAATGGCGCTTTTAGTGACATTTTGCATACAAATCCCCATCTCGTAGGGCGCAGTCACCCAGTTTCGGTGGAAGTGCGCGAGTTCGATTGGGATTCAAGTAGGAAGGGAGCGTCTCAGCTTCCTCGGACCACGACCATTCGCCTCAGCACCCCGAAGACTACAACTGGTGAAATTTTAATTTTTGCCTTAACTTCCCCTTTAATGTAGGTGTGAAACAGGAACCTTGGCCTTGGTTTCTGGTTCAACTCTGAACCGCAAACGACAAGGGTTCGCTATCACGAAGTTCGCTACGATGCGAGTTTGTCAGAAGTGCAGTCCACTGTACTACAGTATAATTGTGTGTGCATACCAAGGAGTAGTACAATTGTACTACTCCTTGGTGCATACTAAGTATGCTGTTTATTATTAGTAGTGGTAGTGTCTGCATTATTGGGGGGCGCTTCTGGGGGTGGGTGGGTGGGTCAAGAAAGAAACGCCTCTTAGCCGTCTCTGCATGTATTTACGGACGGCCACTTTTTTGTAGTAGGAATAATCATAGTCATGCACATGCCGGTCTTACCGCTTACAGGCGGGATGGCAGCCCATACTCCCGGCCGAAGATGTTTCCTGTCTGTCAAGCCGAAGACGAAGAAAGCCAGGTCGAAAGGTCTTGTCTGCGTGTAGAAAAACACAATCAGATAAGCGGAGGTTTAGTTGACCATGATTGCCTTCTCTCTTCCGTCCCCGTGGCAAAGTGTTCCGTTGCGGAAATATCCAGGTATTACATCATCACGGGAACGCTCTACTTGCACCCATGGCCCAGCAGCCTCCGAGTGCCAGTGCCAGCGGTAGACCTTACGAGATGTCCAGAGAATGTCCCGGGCTTGCCGTGAACCTTGGTAAGATTCGTTGCATCCTTGTTACCAGGAGCGAAGTAACAGTTGCCAGCAACTCCCTGGAAAGACGAATGAGGCTGTACTGGTGTGCACACGTCGGCTTTTAGTGGTTCCAAGATGCGAAGTATCGCCGGTCCTAGCATGCAAGGCCAGGAGCGACACAACGGCACAAGGTGCAAAAGCCAAAGCACTCACATGTTGTTTAGTAAACGGGGAACTCAACGGGAGGGACTTCCTGGGGCCCTGGTCCTCATGACATAAAACTGTGGTTGGAAGAGCCCCGGTCCTCACGACATAAAAGAAAAAAAAGAAAAAGACCCACTCAGCTGGCTTGGCGCATCGACTGCGCGAGTGCGCGACTGCGCGCGTGTAGCGCAACTCCATCCATCACGCATCATGTCACCCCAGCTTGCGTACGTGGGCTCTCACAGAAGCTTTTTTGCGATGCGACACGCGATGCGACGCGATCTGCGATGGATGCGTGCGATGCGAACTCGCGAAATACCATTCACAGAAGAAGTCAGCGATGCGACAAAGTTTTGCTGATTTGGGTACGTCACCATGATATTCGCGCGGTTTGACACAACTAATAATTACTTGTAAAAATTTATAGGCAACTCTTGCACCTTTGTACAACTTTGCTGTAGAAAAGGTCAAAATCGTACACCAAATCGCTTGTCGCATCGCATCGCATCGCAGCTCAACTTCTGCGATGGCCTGCGATGGCCCAGTTGCGGCAGTTGCGTGGGGTGCGATATGGCTGCGATTTGGGGTTTTCCCGGTTTCGCGTCTAAGGCTGCGTTTACACGACAACGCTGGGGGCGAAAACGCAACGAAATCCTTTCGGATCCATGGTTCATTTACACGGTACGCGGAGCAAAACGTAAAAGTTGTACACGAAAACGGAAGAAAACCAAAACGCTGGCCAAGGTGGAAGAATTTGAAAACGGAAATGTTCTGCCGGATAAATTTGGGTGTGTAAACAGTCGAAACGGTGTGCTGGCCTCGTTTTCCGTCACGTTTGTTTCGTTTTCGGCCGTTTACACGGATCCGACAATCCAAAAAATTGTTTTTACAATTTTCGTCATGTGACGTGTGTTGTCGTGTGCCTGTTTTCAACCATTACTTGAGTGTGATTGGTGCTTCCACGGCAACACTTGGCACATGACGAACTTTGGCGGATCCTTTGCTCTCGTGTAGACGGCACTAGACGCTTGAAAACGGTACAAACGGAGACCACCTCGGATCGGCTTTGATCGTGTAAACGTACGAAAACGAAAAAAGAAATGCGGGACTGAAAACGGAAAACTGGCCGTGCGTTGTCGTGTAAACGCAGCCTAAATATGGACGTTTTACTGTCAACAGTTTCCTCTGAGACAAAAATGCGATAATACTCATAAAAAGGACACACTTCAGGCTCATTACAAACATCTTGAAAGTTTTTGTCTTCACAAGTATACTTTCAAGCCTTCTCATCAGGTGAAATACAGGCAAGAGAAAAGGAACAGGAACAGTGGATTAAATACAGTAAGCACTACATGTCGCGCTTATTGAGTTTTCTCGCATTTGCACCTTTGTGTCATTATTGCAATTTTCGCTGTTTACTTTAGCTATCTTCTTTCTTTCTTTCTTTCTTTTTGCGCTGTTTTACCACCTTCTTACTGTATTTAATCCACTGTTCCTGTTCCTTTTCTCTTGCCTGTATTTCACCTGATGAGAAGGCTTGAAAGTATACTTGTGAAGACAAAAACTTTCAAGATGTTTGTAATGAGCCTGAAGTGTGTCCTTTTTATGAGTTTTACTGTCACGTGGAAAATGTCTGGGGCTGCGCTGAGTCATGAGCCCATCTGAAGCGTGGAGACATATGTAGCCAAGAGTCCATAACCCAGTTAGGGGTCGTCCGGGGTTACCGATTGTTTTTACAAAACGAAAAGTTTCAAAATTTGAGTATTTTTCAGCCCCCACCCACCCACCCACCTTTTCTGCAGGTAAAACGAATTCCAATAAAATATTGATGTCAATTTTCGACATCCAGAAGTAACTGGGCATTCTCCATCAGCATTCAATAATAATTATTATTTTCAGAACGAAACTCCATCAAACCCACCCACCCACAAACGAAAACATTTCGTTTTGAAAATATTATTGGTAACCTTGGACGGCCCCTTATTGACTCTTGATGTAGCTGTTAGACCCGGTTCTGACCCTCTTTATTCAAGGGAGTTGTCTTAGTTTTTTTCTTGTTGTACCGTCAGTCTAGTCCAGGGAGTCGTAAAATGGTCGTAAAATGGTATTTTACGACTCCCTGGTCTAGTCGTGCATACGTTGTTCGCGCCTGGATGTCATCTTGATACTAGCTTTTGCTCTGATCTGCTTACCTACTTTTCTTTTTTATAATTTTTTCAACTTCTAACCATGGTTTAGATATTGTTTGGCTTTGTTTAGAGTGGTCGTGAAGACCGGGGCCGGGGCTCTACCAACCACGGAGGTTGAAGTAAGATCACTGCTGGTTTCCGAACACGGTGGTCTCCGCCTTGTTGCATGCTGTCAACCAACACCATGACTGTTTCAACAAAGCAAGGTTTATCTAATAAAATGTAGCTTGTTGTAGCTTGTAACATGCCGTCAGCTGATCACCATGTTCTGCACCAGCTGGATTAGCAGCATAATGCCCTCCTCTACTCTACTAGTCTCTAGCCTTGGAAGCGGGTTTTTATTGACCGCATAAAAATTAATGATGATGCAAAGAAAGAAAAGGATACTATGTAGCCTAGTCTAGACTCTGCTACCAGCGAGAGAGCATACACCCCCTCTGCATGGGCTTGGCATGCACTATGAAAAGTATGATGCAGTGAAACGCTCCACAGTCTGACAGAGATTTTGCTCGACTAATAATACTATTAATAGTAATATTCATGATACTTCAAGCCCAAACGGGCAAAAATCTCTTCTGTCTATCGATATCTGCATGCACCCCAGGCCAGATGAGCGCGAACGTGAAGTACGTAGATCTACTCAATCTGCGGACAGAACCGTTTCGTCCCGGCCTTGTACTTGTGGACTCATCAGCGCAGCACAGAGGAAATGAGGCCGATCTTTGTAGGAAAAGAAGGGCGTCGCGATACTTTGCGGTAAATCAACCGTAAAATGGTGGTGCCGGTGGTCGACAGCAGTCCGGAGATTTATCACCACGCCAGCAGTGGAAATGACACTCCAACAATGGCAACATGCTGGGCATGCTGCATTACTGCAGGTCTACATTATTGTAGTTCTCAACGCAATTGTATAGCCGGTGGTAACGCGGACGTGCAAACTTTACTTTATTTTACTTACATTATTGTAGTGACAGTACTACAAGTGCAACTGTTGCACTAAGTCTTTCTCTCTGAGTCTGAGTCTCTCTAGCTCTCTCGTCTAGTCTATGCAGATCTTGGCCTACGATTAGAGTACGAGGCCGAGGATCTACAACGTCATGTTCTACCTGCGGAGAACATGACCATCATGCTGTGCGATATGCTCGGTACGAGTCGTACACAGAGGGTACAAAACTGATCTCAAGCTGAGTGCGGTCGACGTCGTCCTACGTGTCTGTGTGCCGTCCAATCGTCCATTCAATGGGAATGAACTCTTCAAGTATTAGTTGCCGAAGTGCTTTCCACGGATTTTTTCTCCAGGCCTACGTTGCAAGCAGCATGCTAGCAGCAGCAGCAGCAAGCTCTGTACTGTACTTGCGTTGTAGCTAGGTTTGTCTGCTTGCCTTGTCCCGCGAGAAGACGCCTGCAATGGGTGAAGGAAGCATGTCCCTTGCAGGACTGTCAGCTCTGCGGACGTTGCTGCTGCTACTGATTCTTTTGCCCGTCCTCTGTAAAGGCATATGTGTGGAGAATGGCGAGAGACCGGTGCGACGCCTCAATCTAAACTGCACCGGCTCTCCGTTCGCCAGCTTCTGCTGCAGCAGTCCGTCAGAGGCAGTGAATAGTAGCTCATGTCTGCCAAGACCATGGAGGCACAACGCCTGTCACGGTGGCTACTACGCAGGGGCTGACAACGCAACGCTACCGTGCCCGGACGGCTTCTTCTGCCCAGAGAATGCCCTGTGTATGGTGCGCTGCTCCGTGGGTGCCTACTGCAAGCAACACGTTGCTGTTCAGAATGAGACTGGCCAATGCTCAGCGACCAACTCAGAAACGTGTTGTCAGCCATACGCGGGAAGTGAGAGATGGGTGCAGGTGAGTGCAATGTCTTCCCCTTGTCCCCGGCAACCCCATGTCCAAGATGAAGTCACTACATGACTGCAGTACTACTAGTACTACACTGTATACAGTAGTCACACTGGTCTACATCTTCTTCTTCTTTTTTTATGAAAAAGCAGTCTCCTGAAATCAGGGGGTGAAATCCATTGGTAAAATATTTCCAAGTGAAAATGAAATGCAGCCTCATCAACACAATAGCACGTGCCTGCCATGGACTTAGTAGAAAGATTTTGCACAGTATCTTTGGCGTGACGTGAACTTTTGCTGCGGAAAATGGCGTGCGAACTTTGGATGCAAGCGTGAGATGTTGACGGTAATGTTGACGTTGAATTTGAAACTTTTACGGAACACCGGCTCTCTACTATCCATGGTACTCAATGCCGCACTGCTCTATCAAAGAGGTTGAATTTCATTGACCAAACTGCAGCTAACAGTTTTTGCCGGATACGTCCATGTGCCAGTGCCATGAATCATGACTGTACAAACATGGGAACGGGAGGGGCATTGATGACATGATCGGTGCTTGGAAAAACTGTGGTTAAGATCATTTTAGTCGTTGATACCTGAACCAGCTTAACTGTATAACCTTAGTCCACTGTTTGTACTCAGTTCTACTTAGTCTTCGGTAATGATTGTGTAGCAGTATGAGACTCTGAGTAGATGCGTACCAGTACTGAACGTTGCTAGAGCCACTTGGCCTTGTCTGCGAGCGTAATCCATGTACAGTCGACTTCGCTTATAACGACACTCGGAGGGCATCAAAAAGGTGTCCTTATTCGCGAAGTGTCGTTATACCCGAAGTCTCATTATATGTATTACAGTGGGATGGGACTTTGCTCTGGGCATGAAAAGTCTGTCGTTATTCGCGAATTGTCGTTATATCCGCAGTCGTTATTACCGAAGTTGACTGTAATGCATAATTATCCTTTTGATGCTGTTCCAAGTTTCCTAACTGCTACCGCACACATGACAATAAAACATGTCATGTTTTATGTGGCCACAGGGTGCCAACAGTAACACGTCGAGCAACTCTAGTGCTGGGAGTTACATTGCGTGTGGTGGCGCCAATGCCGACCAACCGTGCCGTTCGGGATTCTATTGCCCAACACCGGTGGAGAGGATACAGTGCCCGCAGGGCCATTACTGCCGCGAGGGCTCGGACAAGCCACACGCGTGCCCTACACTGTCATTATGCAGCAAGAGTTCGAGTGCACCCAAGGCAATAGCCAGCAGCCTGGTGGTTTGCATAGCCGTGGCCATGCTACTGGTTGGCATTGTCGTTCTCTTCAGAAAACGGCAATGGATACGACACCAGATCATTGACTACCTGAGAGAACACAATGTCAACATCGACGAGAACGGAACATACGAGGTGGTAGACGTGGAGGAGAATAACGACACTGGTGTCGTCCTCAGCAACGACTGGTGTCATAGCCCTCCATGCTCACCAAGACGTACCGGAATACAGCACGCTCAAGTCCGCAGCACTCAGACATGGGTCACTAGCAGCAGTCAAGGGCAATCGCTCACGGAACCCTCCGATTCCCGTCGGCTGAGCGGAGATGACGGGGATGTGTTTGCTGAGCCTCATGACCAACTGCCAGCATCACCAGTTTCTTCCCTGCCACCACCACCCCCGCCACCACCACCCCCACCACTGATGTCTTCCTTACCACCATCACCCCCACCACTGATGTCTTCCTTACCACCATCACCCCCACCACTGATGTCTTCCTTACCACCATCACCACCGTCACCACCGATGTCTTCCTTACCACCCCCACCGCCGATGTCTTCCTTACCACCATCACCACTGATGTCTTCCCTGCCACCATCGCCAGGATTCACACTGAATGTAGCAAGCTTTCTTAACCCGTTGTCATTTGCTCAGTCTCCACCCAGTAATGTGGTATCGCCACTACATAGCACACATCTTAGTGACTCAAATTCCCAGTCCAGTCTACCCGAAACGCATATAAAACAGCAGGAACAGCAGCCGGAGGAGGATGAAGTGGAGAAATATCTCCAGGAGGTGCAGGAGCAGCAGCAACAACAACAAAACCACCACAACGAGCAGCAACAACAGCAGCAGCAGCAACAGCAACAACAACAACAACAACAACAACAACAACAACAACAACAACAACAACAACAACAACAGTTCCGGGAATTAACTCGAGAGGAGGGCAGGGCTTCTTCTCGAAGCAACATCATCAATCGCCAAGAACCACATGTGCGCATTCGAACTACATCAAGCACAATCTCTGTTCTCATGTGGATGGCGGGTGTGACTAAAAAAGAGACGGCCAAGAGGAGCAGTGCTGGAGACACAATTGATGGAAATGCAAGTAAGTTGCAAGCCTACAGAGACGTGATCAGGGCGAAGAAAAAACAGCATACCATCCATCTCGAGTTCGAGAATTTGTCGCTGAGACTCCACGGACGCCGCAAGAAGAAAGTTGTCGACAACGTCAGCGGCAGCATAGAGCCGGGCAAGCTTACAGCCATCATGGGCGGCTCGGGAACTGGAAAGACATCCCTCCTCAACTGTTTGTGCGGTAAGGCAGTAGCATAGCGTACAAACAATGAAGCAATTTGACATGGATTGATGTGTGATGCAAACACGTATATCACATGTGCATCTTGTAGTGACACGTTATACATGTAAACTTTAAAATGAACTTTAGCTAATTCAGAAGTATAGAATGGATAATTGGAAAAGTTCTTCAAGCCTTTTGTTTAGAATGCAGCTTCAATAGCTGTTTAAATAGCCTGTAGTCTGTTCTAGCCTGTTTTTATCAAACAACTGGTGGAACAACCCATACATGGGCATGGCCACGGTGTGCTGGGTGAAATTGATTGATCAACACAAACCATGGATGATGTTGAGAAGTACAGGAAGAAAAGCTGTCGTTGATGTCAGGTGATGCCGCACCACGCTTAGCTTCCACCACCACCACCACCATCACCACCACCACCACCACCACCACCACCACCACCACCTCCGCATGATGTGTATGCTGCAACAATGATATTATGATCTCCCAATGTTTGCCCTCAGAGCTTCATCAGGGCAAACTCGCTGTTGTTACAGTATCAGTGCAGTGGTCACGGGGTGCCAATGGTGGCAGTGGTGGTGGTGGCGGCCGCGAGTGATGGTGGTGGTGGTGGTGGTGGTGGCGGTGGCGGCCGCGAGTGGTGGTTGTGGTGGCGGTGGCGGCCGCGAGTGGTGGTGGTGGTGGCGGTGGCGGCCGCGAGTGGTGGTGGTGGTGGTGGTTGTGGTGGCGGTGGCGGCCGCGAGTGGTGGTGGTTGTGGTGGTGGTGGCGGCCGCGAGTGGTAGTGGTGGTGGTGGTGGTGGCCGCGAGTGGTGGTTGTGGTGGTGGTGGTGGCGGTGGCGGCCGCGAGTGGTGGTTGTGGTGGCGGTGGCGCCAGTGGTGGTGGTAGCGGCAGTGATGAATTGAGTCGATCAAGGATAGTGGATGTGCTGCTGTGTAGTCTCCGTGCACTGAAGAAGGCCATTATGAAGCTAGCAGTGCATAATGCAAGCAGGGAAAGACTATCATGAATGCAATGTTGCTTTATCTACTGTTCTCTTGACCACCCGTAGGTAAGGCATATTACGCCACGAGCACGGGCGCGCTGCGAATAAACGGCAAGGGGGCAAACAGCATTGAGCAGTACCGGACCGTGCTGGGCTTCGTACCCCAGGACGATGTCATGCACACCGAACTGACCGTACACGAGGTGTTGATGTTCCAGGCACTGCTGCGGTTACCACGTCACAAGACACGCAAAGAGATTGAGAAAGAGGTAAGAGAACCGCCCTATTCTTCCGGTGACCCACAAAAATTGTTCGCCACAGAGCATGCTACAGTGAACCCTGTGTAAGACGACCGCTCAAGGGACCTTCAAAACGTGGTCACCGCTCAAGGGACCTTCAAAACGTGGTCACCGCTCAAGGGACCTTCAAAACGTGGTCACTGCTCAAGGGACCTTCAAAACGTGGTCACTGCTCAAGGGACCTTCAAAACGTGGTCACTGCTCAAGTGACCTTCAAAACGTGGTCACTGCTCAAGGGACCTTCAAAACGTGGTCACTGTGTACTGGTTGTGGTCTCCTTATCCAGGGTCATTTGACTGGAAATGGCATCCCTTGGTCCTGGTTTCAGTGGTCCTCTAGGACAGGTGGTCGCCTTATCAGAGTGGTCGCCTCGACTGGTTTTACTGTATATCCTCTAAGTATTTGACTTCATTCCAATCAATGCACACAAATATTTTCTTTTCTGTCCATTTGGTTCTGTAACTGCGAAATGCCATAGACCTTCCTGTGTGGTTCGCTGCAACAATGAAGTGTGACTCAGTACACTACATGCTATGCATGACCGGCTTGTGTGGCGTAAAACGAGGACAATTTTGTGCGGCATGTCCATCTTGGCTGAAAGAGTCTAAAACATGTGCTGCAGGACAGTTGATAAGGTGTGTGACATTGGCGACAAGATGCAATGACACTTGCTAAGCTCTCAGCTGGCCTTTATTTTTGTGTTGCACTATCAATCCACATCTGCTTCACAGGTCGGCGACATTGAGGATCTCCTGGGGCTGTCGAAAATACGTGATTCAGTTATTGGCTCCCAGTCGGCAGCAAAGAAGATCTCTGGTGGCCAGCGCAAACGTGTCAATATCGGAATGGAACTTGTGGCAGACCCAACCATCCTGTTCCTAGATGAGCCCACCAGCGGTCTTGATAGTGTCACCAGCAGAGAGGTAGGTTTACAACGGGGTCGGGGGGTTTACAGCGGGGTCAGGGGGGGGGGGGTGGTTACAACGGGATCAGGGGGTTAACCGTGGGGTCGGGGGTTACAATGGGGTCAGGGGTTTTGCAAAGGGGTCAGTTGATAACGAGGTCAGGGGGTTTACAATGGGGTCAGGGGGTTTACAATGGGGCCAGGCATATTGAAGAGTCAAATTCCAGACGAATGGAAACTAGAATACATTCGGAATGAAAATGTCTTGCCACAGAATGCATGTAGAGTACAACTTGGATTGTGTTGGTTTGCTGTGGTTGTCTGTTTAGGTAATTGAGCTGTTGAAGCTCATTGCCAGTGAAGGAAATCTGACCGTTGTAACCGTCATACATCAGCCACGATACGATATCTTTGTACAGTTCGATAGCACCATTCTGCTGGAGAAAGGCGGACGCATTGCCTTTCAGGGTTCTGCACAAGAGGCACAGGTAGGTACATGTTACCAGTAGTACAGTGGTTATGACGCGGGCAAGCCGTCGAAGCCGTCATAACCGGTGAATGGCCGAAAGTCAGTAGAACTTAGTAGTCTGAGCAAGAACCAGCACTGTAAGGAGCTGCAGAATAGAGTTGCACAAACAAATGCCTCTTGTGTCGGCATAGGTTGCCGTGAACTTGGTGACGGTGGTCGGATTTTTTTGTTATAAATGTGCATGTACATGTGCGAGTGGCACTTCTTACACGGGTATGCACTTCTTACACGGGTATGCATGTGTGTGATACACATTTTCCACAGAATCAGGTTGTGTCTGTGTGATTACAGTCATCCTGTGCTGCATCATTTAATTATGATTTATATGGCCTTGAACTTTGGTGCAAGAAACTTTCAGGCTCCGTGTTGATCTGTATTTTGTTTTAAAGCGCACAAGCGGATTTTGAATATTTACTTGACTCCAACGGCCATGATGTGAAACGGAGCAGGTACGGCAGTGAAGTAAATTTGATGAAGTGATATTGTTCTTCTGTGTGTGTGTGTGTGTGTGTGTGTGTGTGTGTGTGTGTGTGTGTGTGTGTGTGTGTGTGTGTGTGTCTGCTCCAGGATTTCTTCACATTCATTGGCTACGACGACCGGCCGAGTCACACGAACCCCGCAGACTACTATCTGGACTGTATATCTGCACACTTGGAGCGAATTGAGAAGCGTCGAACGGACGGATACACCATGGAGATCGACACGATAGCAGACCTCTGGGAGGCTGAACAGAGGAGGTGCCCCAGACCGAAACTGGAATTTCCGACTCAGCCGTTCAAACCTATCCAGAGGCCAATGATTGCCGTGCAATTCCTCTATCTGCTTGTACGCTTCTTACTGCTAACGGTAAGTTGATAGCTTGTGTGTCTTATAGGTGGCGTTGGAAATGTGGCTCTCCATGGAGTAACTGGAGTAAGGAGTGCTAAGCCCCACGCCTAACAGAAGCTAGAACTTAGAAGGTGTTTTGTAAGCCTACAGGACTGTATTAAGCAGGGACAGGTCCCTATTCTTGGGGGTTTCTTCCACATTAGGATTAGGGAGGCGCGGACAGATCGGCCCGGTTTGTAATAGCATCACTTCTTTGGAACAGAAAGAAGTAGGCAGATGGCTTAGAGCACTTAAGTCAGAATACCGGTAATTTTTCACAATTCATTGCACTTGTTAGTTTTCTCACGTATATACATACACAAACTGCACACACACACACACACACACACACACACACACACACACACACACACACACACACACACAAATTTCCTCTCCCTCTTTCTCTCTCTTTGCTTTCTTGTTGGCACAGGTGAGGACCTGGTCGGTGTTTCTCCTAGACGCTGGTCTAGTAGTACTCTCTGGGTTCATCCTGGGTGCTCTGTTCACCGAGATTACGCTGGAGAAATCACTCGTAGCCAATGTCATGACGGGATTAGCGGTAGCGTTGACCGGCATGATTGCAGGTCTTCGCCCGTTCGGTACCAACGAGACCAGGCCACGGTTTTGGCGCGAGAGCTCGGCCGGCATCAACCGTTTCGCCTACTTCTGCTCCGTCAACGTCGGACAGCTTCCCTGCATTCTACTCTTGCCCGTTTTCTTCTTGTCTTTCTACTACCTGTTGACGTCGCCGCGGGCACCGCTCGGATCCTATTTCGTGGTGTACATGTTCACGTACTGGGCGGCGACCGGCATCGGCTACGTGCTCTCCACCGTGCTGCACCCTGATAACAGCAAGATGGCGGCCGTGGTCATAACCCTCATCTCGGCAGCCGTGTGCGGCACGGCAACCACGACTATCTGCAAGCTCCAGTCCTACACGTTCGTCGGACCCTTTATCTACAGTATAGCATACAGCAAGTGGTTCTCCGAAGCACTCTTTGAAATCGAGGCCAACGAGCACTCGCCAATTCTGAGATACAACGTGGAGTTCTTAGCCGGCCTCAACGACTACAGCTTGGATAACTTTGGATTCTGTCTGACCGCACTGTTCATCATCGGCGGGGTCACACGAGTGTTGGCTTTCATCCTGCTTGTCTTCAGACATCGAGGCAAGCAGAAATAGTGCTTCCCCACATCAAGCTGAACAGACAGCTCTGAACATAATAATTATGATCAACTGCAACACAGGCCTAGAATGAGATGTACACGTGTGCACATGGAACGACAGAACGCTCATCATTTCCTGGACTTTTTATTCAGAACTGAGCACCTTCACTGAAAGGTAGAGACACCGGTCTTAGATGGTCTGTAATCAACACCCAGCGCATATGGTTGTAAAATGTCAATGGACCGTCAGTACTTTTGGACAAGCATGTCTTTCACCACTTCTCACGTGAGATCTTCCAGCAGTCATACGGAGATCACACTTAACCACATCTCTCTATTTTTCGCCATGGTTTCAATTTCTTTAAGTCCAGTTGGTCATCACACATACGCATGCACATACACACACACACACACACAGACGCGTGGACACACACACACGCACGCGCACACACACACACATACACACTATGCCTATGGACCTTTTGTCAATTATTAGCCGGTCCTCAGTCTGATGACAGCGATTCACTGTTTCAGCAGTCTTGCACAAACACCCGAAAACAACAGATGATGATGATGATACGTGTCCTGACTTCATAACAGTTGACAAGTCAAGAGGTTTCATTCAGATCTGCTGTTTTCCATTGGAGTAGATTTAGTACTTCCAAGTGTTTCTTATCACAGTCCATGCATGCATGGCTGTCTCCACCTAGCACAGTCGACAACACTTAGTCCAGGACACATGTAGACTATCTGCTTGTACATCACTCGATCATGCCTCTCAATCCCGCTTTATATCGTGTCCCATCTAGCCATCTAACGTATTGACATATGCTCTTATATACATGTAAGAACCTGCGAATATCTTCAAATTTACCAAATGTTCGGCCTTACCGGTTACTGTGGCCATCAATGGAATCACACCCAATGATCAGGGTGAAAACCACAAAAAAACACGATAATTTCAGAAAAGACAAAAGTGCAATCAATGCCTCAGAGTTCCAGGTGTGTGCATCCAGCAATCGCAACCATGTTTTCTACATGAGACAGCGGTTTGGCATCATCGTTAGAACATTTACATCTTGTATTGGTAACAGGCAGTGGCGTAACCGTGCCAACCACAGCATAAGAGTACGTTTGCAGAGCATGTGCACTATGGATCCCGAGATAAAACCGGCTGAAATACGTTTTCGATAGTACGTTCTGCATGTGCATGGCACGCTAAACACGGGCACTGTCTATGCATGCATATCTCTAAACGCAGCAATGTATATAGGCATATAACTGTTATATCAGTGATTGCTGTCTGCAATGTGATTCGCAGCTGGCACTATGCACCTTCGGCCGTGTTCCGGACAGCGCTGTGCCATTTGGCTGTCGGGAACACGCAAGCACTGCGCTGCAACCTACCAGCCTTCTCTCTGCAGTGTGCTGAACCAGGCTAGGCCATGAACCAGTGGAACAGAGCTCCGCTCCACACGTGCACCAGAAAGTAAACTATGGCCAATCCTTCGACCAGCTTGAACTTTTTACTTTCTGGAAACGCCGCAAACAGGGTGAACAGGCTCTGCAGGATGTTCACACAGAAAGGACAGTGTGTAGATCTGCATTACAACTGGTTATACAGCTGTGTTTAGAAATTAGGGCTGAGTCGGGTAGCATTTTCTTCGGGTATCGGGTTCGGGTAGTTTTCCACGGGTAGCACGGGTATCCGATCGGGTAATGTTTCCATTGTAACACCAAAATGCACTCCTTCCCTCACACACTGGGTAGCCATGCGGAGCATTACATGAATTCGTACACGTGCCCTGTACATGATGTCGTCTGCTACTTCGGGTCTTCGGGTACTATTCTGTACCCGTCTACCCGAGGTCCTCACGGGTAGCACGGGTACCCGACTACCCGTGCACACCACTATTAGAAATACACTGTACAACCAGCTTAGGATGCTAGGCTCATGCCAGGCCAGTGCAAAGAAGCAGGAAACACGATCGGTGCAGGCTGCTAGCGTACAGTCCTTTCGGTCGCCGAAGAACTGGGGGGTCAGCCTCCTAGCCTAGACCGTTCTTATTTTCATGTACTACAGTCTATGCACAGTTGAGTCACCGTGTATACATTGGTATGCTGTGCACGGTGAAATCCTAGCCTGGTCGTTCTTCGGCTCTCCATGGATCGGCGCCCGACAGTGCTGTAGTCTGATAGGAGACTCTTGCCACCGCATTTAGAGATCTTGATCATCAATGAGGAACGCTCTGCTCCCCACGTATCATTGCGGCATTTACCAGGCAAAGGCGTATAATTATGCTAAACACCACACGCCTAGCAAGAAAATGCCACGATTCATTTAATGAAATTGCAGCTGGAGAATCCTGCCATCCTCACCGGTTCTATGTTGGCCACGTGGCTATACTGAAAAAAGCAATTTGATACAGTCCATGTGCGTACATGACAGAGTTGCCCATCACAAAGACACCAATACAGTCATACTAACTTAGTAGTAAACTTACCACCAGTAAGGTAGCCTGCAGAGGAAAGAGAAGCCGCTGCAAGGACAGTAGATTTCCACCAAGCACTCCCAATGCCACCGTGCCGGTAACAATTGCAAATACCTTCCAGCGTCCGTAGATGACGAGGTACGTCCCCTTTTTCTGCAGTGGCATAATCGGAACGGGGCAATCACCATAGTTACGGCAGACACTAAATGTGAAATTCAAATATTTTAGCAACCCTATCCTGCACGCTGTAATGCATAGCAGACAAGGAGATGACAAGAGAGTGCAGCCATCATTGCCATGACAACTTCTAATACTGCAGCTGGCTTTCAGGTTTGCAACAGCGTGTTAAAAACTCCAGTAATACTGCATGTGGCGCCGGCGTGGCAGCACATAACACAGAAATTCACTTTTTTTACCTTTGGCAGCGTTGGGTCCAGCTTGCGGCAAACTTCGTAAGCGAAGAACCCTGACAGGCCAACTGCACCGAGGCAGTATGTGCTACGTTTCCACAACGCATCTTCATCTCCAGCAAGTGCGCATGCAAAGGCTGCTGCTATCACAATTGCAAACTGTAGACAACATACAGCATTGATATCACATGCAGGAAACGATGGGCAATGAAGAGCCTTCTACCAGACAAATCAAAAGCAAATAGACAACTGTAGTATACGCATCTCTGAAAACCAGATAGTGCCCAGATAACTCTGGATGTCCATACACTCATACATGTAGCTGCATAGTCTATAAGTTGTCACAACTCACGCATGCATGCTTCGGCATTCCAAACTGGGAATCAAAGCAAGTACATCCATCGTATACCGGAGCTGACACAAACATTAAATTTGCATCTATGACGTACACGAATGAATAAATAATTTCGTCTTGTAGTAAGAGAGAGAGAGAGAGAGAGAGAGAGAGAGAGAGAGAGAGAGAGAGAGAGAGAGAGAGAGAGAGAGAGAGAGAGAGAGAGAGAGAGAGAGAGAGAGAGAGAGAGAGAAGAGAGAGAGAGAGAGAGTGTGAGAGAGAGGAGAGAGAGAGTGTGAGAGAGAGGAGAGAGAGAGTGCAGGTGTCGTATTCGACTGCACTACAGTACTGTCAGGTGCGGCAGAACTGGGTGGTCAAAGTCGTAGTTAAGGCCGTTCCTATTTTCATGTACAAGTCGATGTGCTGTTGTGCCACCGCGTATACATGTATATCTGTATGCTGTGCTGGGTGAGATCCCAGCCTGTTTGCTCTTGGCCGCTCAGCTCTTCGGCGCATGACAGTACTGTGTGTGTAGCTGCCAGAAAACTACTGTACTGTTTAAAATATACTAGTAACTCTAGTAACCCCATACTGGCAATAGTAGCCACTGGAGGAAACGATGGACGTACCTAAACCAAACAAATACCTTACCTGATGAGAGAGTCCATACAGCAAGGGCCGCTCGTCCAACCATGTTCCAATGCCAAACTCAAAGTACATCAGGACCACGTACACCATCTGTTGGGCACAAGACAGGGTGCAACTCACTTTTGTGGCAAGCATGAGGCCAAACTCTGCGACAGAAGGTTACTCCGTACATTGTGTATGACTGTACAGCCCAACCTATCACAGACTGGGCGGTTAGCAACTAACTTTCGCTCCAGCTCGACTTCTTTCTACAACTTTACCAAGTTCAAATTCATGTGTACGGTGCAGTAGCAAATAATATTTCAAGTAGTGGCTTGAGATTATGTATGACTGCCGGCACTCCTATACGGCCATTGCCGTTAGAGTCATATTGCCGATACGCTCCGGGCCTTCCGGGCCATTGAAGAAAACCGGGTAAAGGCTGACTTACCAGTGAAGCAAACACGGCACCAGCAGTGAATCCGTACCTGTGCAACACACAGTCATGTCAAACCACAGGCCACACAGGCCAATGTCTTTCTAACTCTGGTCGCAAGGCAGGAGGAAACACAGCATGTTCACTACTTTCCCCGAAGGACAAATAAGTTAGAAGCCTGGTGACACTCGGAATGCAATTGCCATGCCACTGGTAATAATAATGGGGGGAAATCCCCTTTGACAAGCGACGTAACCATTCCAATATTTAAAAACAGTGGTGAGTCCTTGCTCATGGCACTCGTGTGGAATCGAGCTGTCCTTTTTGTATCGTTACTCACAGTATTCCATAGACAAGGGCAAGTCCAAAGAGGCTGACAGTGGCAATCTTGATGGCATGCACAACTTCATCCACAGTCAACAAACCACGTGGCAGAGGTCTGTGGAGCAAACAGGTGATGAACGCGCGCGCACACACACATACACACACACACACACACACACACACACACACACACATGCATGCTGGTACACATTGGCAAAGGCACGGATGGGCATCGTTTGAGGTGCAGTGTTCTGAGTGGCATCAGAACAAGTCTTGTCTTGTCACTCCACACTCCACACAAAGCTTAGCATGCGTGATGGTGCCATCCACATTCGCATAGCCCTTACAGGAGATATGAATGACTGGGTTCAAAACCAACCCGATGGTAGTCCAACTCATCCCATGACCAGTGGTTTACTTACATCCAGGATACTACTGTAAGCCAACAAATATTCGGCGCATATTTATTTTCGCCTATTTTCGGCCAGGTTATATCTGGTCGAAAATTTGTTGCGCCCGAAATTTTGTTTTGCAAGGTCCAGTGTGACAGTGTATACAGTCGGCAGCAGTACAGGCCAAACATTTAATTCGGCCGAAATGTGTTTTAACCCTGGAAGGCCGAAATTTGAATGGGCCGAAAATGTGTAGACTTACAGTAGCTATATCCCTGAAGGCTGATATCATACACTGTCTTGAGCTAAACATTGAGCCACTGGTGTACAAGAAAATTCTGCTCTTTCGATCGCACCACATTGCGCCCCTAGTCGACTGAACTGTAGAATTGCACATGCAGCATGGTGTGATCAATAGAGTGAAATACACGTAGAGTGGGTAGCAGAGGCTATCGCAGCATCCACTTTCCCTTGGCATCCAGTATTACCTGTCTGGGTGTACCTCGACATCCGTGTCGTAGTCCTTGACATCATCCATTACCCGAACGAGTAGAAGAACCGCCTGTGTAAACAACAGTTACACACCCATACACATGCACCACACCCATACACATGCACCACAGCCATACAAATGTACTTGTACGACACCCATACGAAAAGACCACACGTGTCACCAGAACTTGCATGCGGTGAACTGGGATGGCGGACTGCGGCACTTCCCGGGCTATCCGGCATACTTCAGAAAACTGCGGAAATGGAGCCAAAGTCGGCCCTGCACTTTAATAATTAATTAATCATGCTTTGCAGTAAAACATACTGGTACACCATGACTGAGTTGATTGGCCCCCAAAAAGAGAGAGTGCATTAGACACCAATGCGGTATACAAACATCACTAAACACTAAACAGTAAACACACTCTCAAACAGCCCATCATTGGCCACAGGTAACAATTAGGCATCTGTGAACAGTGGTATGCTCCATCCGGAGCATTCAACCGCTGTGCACACATATACACACACACCTAACTTATACATACACACACACACACACGCGCGCGCACACGCATGCACACAATCACGTACACACACACACACACACACACACACACACACACACACATACACATACGTGTGAGCAAAGACCAGCTGTCCTGTGCGCTGAGGCCACAGTGAATCCAGCAGAGAATATCACCTCAACAATGTGCACCACGAGACCATAGAAACTAACCATGAATCCGAATGTGCCAGCAATCAACCGCACCACGTCAATCTTCCCATTCACCAAGTACTGACTGGAGCAGATCGGGCCCAGGGCTATGAAGGCAAAGAGCAGGATCGGTGCACGCTCCTTGAACAGTGTCATCCACCTGGAAAGGCTGTGAAACCATGGCAACAATGTACACGCACAGGGTGGTGTGAGACAAGAAGGATTAGATTCGATTCGTTATTTCCAGTTAAAAGGTTCAGCTGCCCGGGCAGTTAACGTAACTGCTAACTAGCGTAGAGTACAATTGATGCACACCTGAGCAGCCATCATGAACCGTACGCTGAAGTACAGGCAGTACTGTGATACTAGTAATCTACAGTCATACTATACCTCTTTAGGACGAACGCCAAGGGACCGGTGGCATTGTTTTGCAATAACGGGAGTTCATCGTATCCATATCCGTACACATTTTGCACGCAAATCCCCATCTCAGTAGCGCGCAGTCACCCAGTTTCGGCGGAAGTGGCGAGTTCGATTTGGAATAAAGGAGGAAGGGAGTGTCTTAACTTCCCCTTTAATACTCCCTGTCAGCTTTTGGGCTAAATAGATTAGTGCGGCACGCCTGACTGTTCGAGGTCCGATATAACTAGTGAATTCGAAAGCATAGAGCTTTCATCTTGGACTTTTTCCTGGTGTTGTAATAATTAGAGGCAACATTCTATGTTCATTAGTTCCCAAAGGCATACAAAGAAAACCTTGGGCAAATTACTCCGAGTTACAACTGAATTTGCCCAAGGTTTTCATTGTGTGCCTTTGTGTACGCCACTCCGCCTGAATCAGGTATTGGGCATTTTCGCAGAACCTAAGCCTACTTTTCATTTGTTCAACATTCTATGCATTCCGCCTTGCCAATACTGTTGCATACCCGGTATGGTACAATCTTTGGGTTTTCTCAACAAGTAATAGTTACCTGCCTGTCGAGAACTGAAAGGTTCTTTTTGGATCGTTTTCGGACAAGGGGAATTTCCAGAGAATGTCCGATAAATCAGACAAATACTTGGCAGCCCTAGGCTATAGCGCAGTAGCAACTCTGCATGGCCCGGCCTAGCGATAGCGTTTCCGCGATGATCTTTTTTAATTTTAATTTTTTTCCAGAAATGATCATCAGTTGTATATTTTGTTGCAGATCGATAACTACATGTACTTGAGTAATTCTGTCGTTGGTTATGATAGCGATGATGGCGCGTGAGAAAGCAACAAAAGACAACAGTACTGTACGCAAGGTTACCTGGAAGCTTTGCGCTCGTCTTCGCTCCCCATCGTGTCTCTCTTTCTCCTTGATGCTGCTATCTAGCGATGCGAACACAATTGTAGCAGCTGGGAGTATTTCCGAACTAGCTCCAGCCTGGACTCTCCCAACCGGCTGAGTCTTAGCCAGGACTGTACGAAGACAAGTAAGTGATTCGTATCGTGTTGTGCACGGTGTCTTTTTCTGCTGCTGCATTCACTTGACCGGGGTCGTAGATCTACGCGGACAACTGGCCGACACGATCGAATCGACGTCCACTTCCCGCCATACACGTTTTGCATGCTGGCTCCGCGCGCTCATGTCTCGATCTACATGACTGTAGCGGTCTACCTGGTCTACATGACGGCTTTGATGCAACCGCGGTACCGGTAGCTCTCGACAGCTAGCTACAGAGTCTGTGTTTGTGAAAGACTTGTTTTTGTAAGTGGGCCTGGCGCATGCATGCATGCCCTGGATGACCAAACATTACGCCCGGCCGGAACCGGAACTTGGCGGAAGGCACACGTCATCAGTCTAGACGAGGGTATGGTACTATAGCCGCACAGGAATGATGTTCTATCGAGAGTTATGTTGTGTAGAAAACTGTGTGTAAAATCCATGCAAACATGATTGTACACACTGTACCACCATCGACATCAGATGCAATCAATAGACACCCTTAGCAAACAACGGTAACGCTATTTTTTACGGTACTCGTACCTAGATCACCCAAATAGCGTTGAAGCTGCAGCGTAAAAACGTTATGGGGGCTGATTTATCGTTGTGACCAACGATACGTGTTTTGGCCAAATATTGCATAGTCCGTACGCATTTCACCTTGTATCGCGTACATGGTGACAAAAATGGTTGTACCGCGTGAAATCAAAGCTATTCTCGTGGCAACAGCGTACTAAAAATAGCGTGCATCTTGCTAAAGGTCGAACCCAAATCACGGTATTTTCCTCCTTACGATAATACCGTTACAACATAACGTGTTTTGCTAAGGGTGTCTAATGCCGCAGAATACATGCGCAATAGGACTAAAGCTAAACTGGCTAGCTACAGCTTGATCGTACCGTACACGTGAATATGCGTTGTATCTAGAGTGCGGGGACCGCGTTGTATCTAGAGTGCGGGGACCGCGTTGTATCTAGAGTGCGGGGACCGCGTTGTATCTAGAGTGCGGGGACCGCGTTGTATCTAGAGTGCGGGGACCGCGTTGTATCTAGAGTGCGGGGACCGCGTTGTATCTAGAGTGCGGGACCGCGTTGTATCTAGAGTGCGGGGACCGCGTTGTATCTAGAGTGCGGGGACCGCGTTGTATCTAGAGTGCGGGGACCGCGTTGTATCTAGAGTGCGGGGACCGCGTTGTATCTAGAGTGCGGGGACCGCGTTGTATCTAGAGTGCGGGGACCGCGTTGTATCTAGAGTGCGGGGACCGCGTTGTATCTAGAGTGCGGGGACCGCGTTGTATCTAGAGTGCGGGGACCGCGTTGTATCTAGAGTGCGGGGACCGCGTTGTATCTAGAGTGCGGGGACCGCGTTGTATCTAGAGTGCGGGGACCGCGTTGTATCTAGAGTGCGGGGACCGCGTTGTATCTAGAGTGCGGGGACCACGCCGTAGCGTGCTCTACAGTGTATCGGTTGAGGTTTACGTTATGTTGGATTACATTGTGCAGCTGAGAACGAAACGTTGCATGGAAGTGATGCTGTTTCGGCGCGAGATTTAATTTCATACCTACATGTACCAGCGAGGTTTACGTACAAGTGAGAGTTGTTATATCGAGAGCAGACCTGTATACTGCATGCACTAGACACTACTACTACCGTATTACCCCCAATAAATGTACAGTAAAAAGGCGACATGGAGACAATAATCTTAATAGTGCAATGAATATAACTAAATGCGCACTCATATCACAACCATGGGGACGAATAATGTGTTCCAGAACGTTTTCTTGTCACAATTATCAATGGAATTCGTGACTAAAGAGAATGATGAAACTACAATAGGATGTATACACTTGAAGTGAAACAGCGAGGATACAAGCGCATAGTAAGTGTCGTGGCTGGCTGATCGTCCCTACGTGTTAGTTATCCCAAGCCCGTTTGCACAAAGTATATGTGCGCCTCTTGGTAGTTCCACTCAGGCGTACCTCAGACCCAAAGCACAGAGAGAAGTCAGGGTGGCGGAGCCCTCAGGTCCGATATAGTAAAGGAACAAAGGAACAGTAAGAAACTAGAAAGTCAAAGGCCAAACCGGCTCAAGCGGACAAGTCCGCTTGAGCGGTAGCGGAACTCCTATAAAGAAAGTCAAGAAAGCTATAAAAGAGAATAAGACTAATACAAGACTCAAACAAGACTAATCCAAGACTCCTCGATATCTGGCTAAGTCAGCGAACTTATACTAGCTGAAATCTATGCGAGCGGCCACGAAGGGAAGGATCGAGCAGGCAGCAGCGAACGAGTAGTGAGCTGTGCTAAACTCAGCAAAGAGTAATGTATCTAAGTATTGAAGCTAATGCTAATCATGAATCGGAGCAACTAAGCGGAACAGCAGAACAGCGGACCGGCAACAGAGACAATAGCTGACAGTTCTATGGTAATGGATAGTCTAGGTCCGGCGACAGGAGAGGTAACCCTATCCTAATCAAAAGGAAGAGAACATTGATGAAGAGCCGCGGTAGAGGTAGGTGACAGGCTGATAATGAATGTGTGCAGCACTACTATAGTATTGGTGAGTAGTACTATCTATACAGGGCCATGACATCTCCCTCGGCTACAAAGAAAAGGGTCACGTCCTCGTGACGGGAAGAAACAACACAAAAGAGCAAATGAAAAAGGGCTAAAATAAAAGGAAACTAAACATCGCCGTAGTTCCAAAGAGGGTGTGAGCAAGAGGGAACAGAGCTTCAGACTTCGAATCAGGAAACGAAATCAAAAAGAACCTACGGCTAGAACTAATGAACACAATGTAAAATCTAATTTCTTTGGCAGGTGGCATCTCTAGCAGGGTCTAATCTTGGAAAAATTGTGACGCAAAACAGTCACTAGCAGCAGAACAAAACTATGAGATAACTGATGAGCTATGCCGAACAAAACAAAACGAATGGACAGCGGATCTAATCTACTGGCACAACATCTTGTGTGCTGGGAAACAATCCTAATCAAAGCACGATGGGGCTAGGAGCTAATTGTTCACTGCCTAAGGCACAGGACCAGGGGTAACAGTTGGGCAGACACTCGAGAGTTAGATAGGAGCAAAGTCGGAACTTAGAGAACTAACTGTATGGGGCACACTTGTTCGTACATAGATAGATCGAGTCTTACTTGGTGGCACTCAGGTAGCAGACAGAGATCAGTGCGGACGGTACTCATGATGATGGTGGACGGCAGTACTTGAATCAAGTTGAGGAGATACTATTAGGCACATGGAAGACAGTACTTCGACGGTAGACACTATAGAAGATGGCGGCAGTACAAGATGGTAGACTGGAACAGTGCACTCAGGGTAGTAGGGAACAGACGACATCATAGCAGTACTAGTGCAAGTGCAGTACCAAACGGAATCGGCTATAGTGACAGGGTGGACGGACAACGAAGACATAGCAGAAACATTGATACTCCAGCAACTGGTGGCAATGGCTGGGTAAGACAGGTACTTGGTGAGGCTCAACAGACCACGGAATGGAATCCTGGTGTTCATGTCATCGTACTATAGGTGAGTGATGGTATCAGCATGGTAGGGTGAAACGATGAGACGTAGTGGTAGAACAGCAGAGCCAATGACTCGAAGTCAGGAAGCAGTAGGAATGCCTCACTCACAGGTGACTGGACTGGCGTAGGGAGAAGGCAGATCTTCCACCAACTCAAGAAGCGAATTTTTTTTCTTCCATCTCGAAGGATGGTGGCCTAGCTCATAAAGAACACGGCAGCGAGACAGTTGATCCACAAGAATCACTGAGAATAATCACGAAGACCGGGCGTAGTTGGGACGCAATACACAACATCCAAGAGACGGTCTTGTACCGGGAATAGTCCACACCATAGTTAGTATACACAAAGTTTGGGGAAACTTCGACCAATCGGTGGGGACCAGCAACCAAACAAGGTTACTAGAAACGAGATGCACCAGACGAGCGCCAACGTCATGAGGACGGGCAGTGCAGACAGATACAGGCGAACGTTTTGTGCACACAGACTGCGCATGCACAAAGTTTCTGGCGTAACGTTTACCTGATACACATGAGGGTAGGAAACGCAACGGTTTGTACCTCAGCGGAATGCAAGCCATAGACCAAGTGTGCACACACACGAACTGTGCTGAACGAGCACGACGTGATAGTCTGTTAGCATGGCTCACGACTGCACACCACGATCAATGATCTGAGCGGCAGTGGGAGAATTGACTCTCCAGCAATGGGATTTAAGCGGAAAGAGGACCCCAGCAGTGTTGCACGTAATGATCAGATTCACGACAGAATCCAGCTTGTGTAACAACGAGATTGACGGGTCATGGAACTATGATGGGCAGCCTGGTCAGTCAAGGCCAGGTGGCAACAGCCCAGCATAATGCAGCGTAACATTCATATGGCTAAGAGAACTTAGCAGCGGAATACCAAAAACACCATAGAAGGGCACAATTGGCGGAAAGGACGGCGCGCATCAAACTGTAACAAGCCATCAGGCACTTCAGTGAGACACAAATAGGTTTCCCTAGGCTGCAATATCAGCAGCGGCGGCGTGTGCCAGATAGACAACACAAGTAGGCGTAAGAGCAGTGTCATTCGAGACATGTGCAACCACAATGATTACGTACTTTGTCTTTCTGGTACGCGGACCAGAGTGATTTACACAGTATGCAAACCGGCGGAAATGAACGACACAGGGATACGGAAGGCCCACTGGGCGGCGTAGTCACTCTCGTACCGATAGACAACAACGGCAACAATAACAACATTAATGCAGTCACACTCCCCGCAATGATTCATACGACAAGACTACAACTACCTTCAACCTACATGTACTTCAAAACAGAGCCTGATACCACGGTAACACGAACAAGTAACAGCCCAAAGGTGTACTTCACATAGACATAAAATGGTACTCATCAGTGACCCGGAATCCGTGATAGAATAGGTGGATAAATCAACAAAACCTCCAAAAATAATAACAAAATGATAACCAAACAATGTTACGTCAACAGCTGGTGCCTGAACTTTCTAGTACGTATTCTTCAATCTAAAGTAAATCCAAGATTCTCAATCTCCGTGAACTCA